GCCTCGTAAAAAACAAAAGTCTTTTCCCAGTGTGTTTACATGGGACTTGATTGCTTGGAAACCACAGGGGCATTGTGGGGCACAGTGCAGCCCTTTGATGGCTGACAGTCGATGGAGGGATGGACGACAGGGTGGAGATTGATGGAGAACACAATGCACAAAGAGACTCAGTGACACAAAAACAAGAATGTAAAAAAAAAACGTGCCTGACACACTGAACTAAATTTGTCTTCATCAATCAGCTGGGTCTCTGTCCACTCACATGGAAAATTAGTCACCAATGGTATGTACAGGAAACATTATCAACAAGAACTTATAGAAGTTGAAACTGAAATACATTCAGTATTTAGTGATTACAACCAAACACTCTAGAGCAGAGGTGAGACATCAAATTACAGCAGAGGCGTCCAACTGTGGATCCACTGGTTGGAGCTTTTGATGATCTGCAGCAGCAGCAGCAGCAGCAGCAGCAGCAGCAGCAGCAGCAGCAGCAGCAGCCAAACAGACAGATATTATGTTTGTTTTAGCAGACTGCATGTTGAAAAGGAAATGGTGGAAAACCAGGCCACACGTAGCCATTATGACTCACTGACCTCATTAATTATTAATTTTCTATTCACACTACCGGAAACAGGTCTGTTGGGGAGAAGAGAGACCGTAGCAGAACGCCATCAAAGCTTTTACATGCCAAATGTGACATGAAGAAAACTCAATGACCTGTTTTCTTGGAAATGCACATGAAGGAAATCATCAGCCTATGAATTTGGTCATCTGCCATCAGATGATTATGATCTGTACGCAGATGTTGACTGATGGTGATGTGGTTCAAATCTACAATTACATAAGATTCTGTGCTACATCAGAAGAAGAAGATGGCATTCACACACAAGGCTGTTAACAGACATTCATGACATAACATGTGACTGGGTCTCAGATCAGAAGTGACAAAAAAAAATGTCCCTGAATTTATCACATTTAGCCCTTGAATTGTGTATGACCACATACTTACCTGCCTAATTCTTTTCAAATTCAAGGTTGAACCTGACAGTTTATCAATTGTGCTGACAGTAGACTCTTTTCTCTTGCCTCCACATGCACCATGAAACATAATGACAAGTCTATCTAGGTCAGAAACATTACAATTTTGCTTTATAACTCAATGATTAATGCATTGACTCAGGCCTGTGCATGTCAGGAAAATAAAAGTCAGAACATTTCTAGCACCTCTAGACACCAGATTCAAATAAATTCACTTCTGCATGTGTTTCACTCCATAATCGGCAGGAAAATGGTGGTGGATAAATTCTGTGTGATACATCCCTAGATAACTTTCAAGATTTGACATATTGACCATACAGAGCTGAAATTAAACCAGATGCAAGGCTCATCGTCAATGGATGGAACACTATTCTCTCAAATGGAGGTTAGTGATCAATATTTTCTCTTCCACAGAGGCTACAGGGGCTGAAATAAAACACACCGGACATCAAAATGAATCCATGTCAATCTTCTTCTTCACAGCAGGAAGCTAAGATGTAGTGCAGAAAACTCAGCATTTACACATCAGTGAAAGAAGCCGGCTGACATGTACGCTGAATATTCAGTGGGTGGATGAGGCTTTTTAAACCTCAATGGCCCCACTTAGACAGGATGAAGGCAACAAGCGGTAAATGTGAACTGTAGGGAGGCAATTATTCCATGTCTCCATCAAGCCCAGAATGGTTTGTGGAGTCACGTTATCCAATGATGCTGAAATGTGACCCTGGGACCAATGAAGACCAGGCACCGACCCAAGGTTACTGCCTTTTGAATAAGCACATGGAAAAGCCATTAGAGGAGACCTTGGGCTATCTCTACAACAACAGCCACAACATCCTGAAGCTGAAGCTGTAGAAAAAAGGAGTGTCTAAAATTCAGCGAGGACAGAAATAACAAAGGATACTATGACAATTCTGCTGATGGAAAGAAAGCAAAAAAAGGTCTGTGCCTGTGGATCCTGTCTGGTCAACCTAATTGTCTCTTCCAGCACCTGTGGATAAGAAGACAGCCCCCGGTCTGTGCTCCTGACATGCTCTGCAACGGTCCGTTAAATGCTGCTCGAATGCTGCCTGCTTTTACCAGTGAAACTGCTGAAGGCAAAGCAGAAACAAAGAGAGTCAACGCAGCATCTCCACCCTCTCAGACCAGACAGTTTTCTCTGGAACCCCGATGGTCCACATGGCCCACAGAACTGACCTGCTGATTCAGCAACGTTCCATCTGTGACAAAACGTGCTCTGTGACAAGAATCCTAATAGTCAGGAGTAGGTTGTCGACGTGAGCACACACCACAACACGAACACAGGTCATGTTCAAGCTGTCAGGTCGGGCAGCACGGCCTCATTAACATTCTGCATCTGACTCCATATCACACACACAAGCAAACACAAATCTCCTCTGAGAGAAACACTCTGCATTCTGCCAGTAAAATGCCATTACCTTGATTATACAGGTGGAAAATCTAAAAGAGTAGGTGGAGAGATCACTTTTGTTATCTTCCAGATCATTCTGAAGGGCGAATCTCACCTCAAGTCGTGATGATATTTAAGCATTTTATTGTAATGTGAATTAATAAATAACATTAATGCTGAATGTTTCAGATAGGCTTGTAGTTACATTTGTTTAACATGGGTATGTGGAAAATGTTTTGTTTTGTGGCTCCATAGTGCAGCGGTAATAACACCTGCCGTACACATCTGCCTTACACGTAAAAGGTCCCTGGTTTGAGCCCTAGAGGAAAGATATACTCAGTGGTGCTTTCAGTGTGGCAGCCTGTGAGTTCCAAACACGTACTTAATGCTGCCTCCCGTAGCAGCCTGTGTGGGTCGCAAAGACTCACACTGTGAATTTCCTATTTGTGGGACAAATAAGAATATTATTAGAACACTTGAAAAAAAAGATTATAAATACTGAATCTTGACGTCAGTACCGAGGTCCGAACTTTGGCTTTTTCCGTACCGTGTCATCTTTAGCACATAGGCATGACCTTTAACCTCTTTTAGTGTGACACATACAGTAGATCTAGAGGGAAGAAAGTGAGCAGCTTACAGGAACACAGCCTAAGGAGTCAGACGTCCCCTGAGTTGTCAGCATAATCAGAGAACATATGCTTCTCTTTGGGTATGTTTTGTGGCTTTGCATATAAGCTCTGATTGTGCTTGTGAGCTGCGGCGCTCCTGTGGCACATCTGGCAGACCGCAGACCTTGTGCTGTCAGGTTCTGTTGAGGAAGCTCACCTGAGGTGGCATTCACGTCCCTGGTAATTATCAGGACTATGATGTGGGAACATTAAGACAAATAAGTGAGTAGTATATATATATATATATATATATATATATATATATATAATGTATATACGGAATCCAATTATTATGGAAATATGGAAAGTATTAGTAATGACTAACACATAAAGAGGGTAACTGTTGGGCAAAGAGTCGCCATTTCGCCAAAGCGCCTCAAGCCATAAATATCATCTCAACTGCCTTCTTTTTTTTCAAATATTTTTCAAATACATTTTTCTTTGGAAGACTCTTGCAGGAGTAACACCAACAATTTCCCTCTGGGGTTTAATAAAGCATTTTCTTTTTCTCTTTTCCGTTCCTATTTCTTCCTTTTGTTCAATGCCGACCATACCTCACCTTTATGGAGAACAGAATTTTTTATATAGAATAAAACTCACTCTTTTGTTTCCCAGACCAGCCACTGATATATACTGTCAGAGTAAAATTTACAGTCGCTAACCCATCTGTCTGCTGCCTACAGTCATTACTGTCTGGATTCTCTCCGTATTTTAATTGTAGTGTATAAAGAAGCTGAAGGCAGGCCATCTATCATTGTCTCTATGGTGGTTTGAGTGTGCACTGAAAATAGCAAACACGGATCATAGTTAACTTGAGTGATGCTGACTTCACTTACAGTTGAGCCAATATGTTTCCTCTGCAGATGGTGAAACGAGAGAATGAGCAGAACTCAGATATAACTCAAAGTTTAAACCAAGGGCATGCAGTGTAACAACAACAAAAAGGTTGGACCATGAAATCAGGGTGAAGTGAAAGAGAAGCTAAGGAGAAGGGTTGGATGGAGAAGGTGTAGCTCTGAGCTACTGCTGCTTTGATCACGGTTACATTAGTGTGCTGTCCCTGCGGGTGAAGAGGTCAACCAATGAGGGGGCATTTACTGAGCAAAAACCTGTCAGGAAGAAAGTGCTATTCCAATGAATGCTGCACTGACAGGAAGCTGCTGCAGCTGCAGAGGTGAAACTACAGTGACTGTACACTGTACAGTTTTTCCTACTGTGACTTACTGTATGTAGGAGGAAGCAAAAATACTTCACATGCACTTACTGTACATTTGAGATCCTTTTAAAGTGATATACTGTATTGCATACAGAAACCAGGGGATAGTGTTGTCATGGATTTCTTTTAATATAAAAAGCCCCATGAGCCCTTGTTTAATGCATTCTTTAACATAGGTGTATGAATTTGAACTATGTATTTAAATACTTAAAACAATAGTTTAAGCAACATTAGCATAATTTGGCCCAAGTTTATGTTTACAACACCTGGGATACAGTATTATGTGTTCAGGTGTCCCAGGAAACATGGTGACATGAATTCTAAAAAAAAAAATCCACTTTTATCAAATGTCTTCTTGTTTTGTTTGAAGGTCAAAGTGAAGACACCGTAGAGACTGACTGACAGACCATGGAGGACAAACATGTATCAGTTTCACCCCCAGCTCTCATTTAGCCTTCTGTCAAATATCTCAACATTGCCTCATCCTTTACTTTGGTGTGTGGGATGGCTTGACCTGAGCTTCAACTGTTCCGCTGGCAGGTGATCTTTTTTATCTGAGGCTCTGAGGGTGAGTGGTCATGTTTTGATGGAGTGCACGTGAACCATGATGCGCTGTGATTAACCATCTCACCTCTAGGGGCATCATTATTGTGATTAACCATCTCACCTCTAGGGGCAGCATTTGTGGATGCTCTTTTATCCTCTCAGGCTGTTTATTTGTTGCCACAGCTGCCTGGTTTTTAATGACTCCTCTGGTAATTAGTGGTCGCCCATAATTAGGATAAGGACTCTGGACTGTCACCCACCCACAGTGGCCTGTGTGGTTGGTGTTTTTTCGGTTGAATGGAGGAGGATGTGGCGCACACTCCGCCTTCATGTGGCTGTGCATACAGCTGTGACTGGTGTTCTGACAGGACACACAGGAGGATGAGGATGAGTTGCAGTTTACCCTGCAGGCAGGACAAGAGAACAAAGGAGGTTCTCAGGTGAAAACTGACTTCAGTATTTGAGCTCTGACCACGTCTGGCTGCTTCAAACACCGGCCCATTGTCAGTGATTCTGACACACATTCTACAAATACACAATATACTGTTGATAACACACATGTCACAGCCTTTTCCAGGCTAGTTTATCATTTTTGGTGGAGATATTTTGAATTCTTTTCTCCCATGAAGGTCAGATAATAACACTCTGAAGTCATATTGGCATTCCTCTGATCAAGGCTGAGCAACCTTCAGCTGAGGTCACATCTGTCCACACTCTATACAGCATTTAGCTTTTTTAAAAACGTGGGAGAAAGATTTCAGTCTCAGCTCAGCAACTAAAACAGTGAAAGCTGATTTTGTCTAATATAAATAAAATAGCATCAATATTTTTTTAAACGATAAATTCTTCAGAAAAAAAATTGTATCCAAATTGATACTGCAGTCGTAATGTGAAATATAACAGTTTGCATCTAAACGACGTCAGCAATTACTGTGACAGGGGATCTGAGCAACAGGAAGTCAATGAACACACAACCTCTGTCACTATGCTAATGAAAGCTTATTATAATGTGTCCAGTCTAGGTGATGCTACTCCAAAACAAAGCCAGTAGATCACGGTGCCACATTATCAATAAGGGCCCCGGGGCCCTTCATACACCTGCTATGGATTCCCACTGTTTCACCCTGACACATTGTCCTGTCATACTATGTCTGGTCCCAGGGACTCCTCCTTAGCTATGCGTGTGTGTGTGTGTGTGTGTGTGCGCCTGCAGTCTACTGTTTGACCTTTTATCACATCACCCACTGAATAATCCATGTAGGGAGCGTCAAGGCAACACTCTTTAGGAAGAAAGAAAATCCATGCCGATACACGGTGCGTGAGCCGGGTCTCCCACTGTGACAGACAATTGTCTGCTATCTCCGCAGAGAAATTAAAGCAACTTCATTAGCATTTCTAGAATGTTATGGTGAATGTAGTTCAAGCATTTTAAAAATCCTTAATATATTCACATGTTATGCCTGTTGGTTTTGGTTTAACAGTTTGCTGGTTGTGTTTGTGTTCATTTCTTTCCCCACAGGACACAAGAAGAAGGTGTTTACTAACAGAAATTAACTAGAGGTTCGTCAATTGACTGCAGTCATTAGGACAGGTGCAGCTGCAGCCTGGACGTGTCACCATTGTATCACATCACCCGTGCATCATATGGCCTATGTATTAGTCAGGAAAAGAAAGTTTGGCTCACCTTAAAAAAATTTGTATTTCAGTTGAAAAATATAGAAATTTAAAGTGCCACAATATTGTAATTTAATAAAAATGCATACAGTTAAACAATCTACAGAAACATAAAAATATTTTATTTTTTGATTTAGCAAGAAAACATGCAATGTCAAATTGAATCCAACCAACCAAAGGCCCTTTCATTGTGACACACAACCACCTCATAGTATGAGGTTTATGCTTGTGACTCGATGGCCAATAAATCACTTTTTATCAACTATCCATAAGCAACCAGGCTGGTGGGCCATTATATAGCATTTTTCTATCCCTGGTAAAACAACGAAAGGGACGATGGTGCAAATTACACCATTTGGCTGCATTCATTAACATTATCTGATTGCAGTCTGGACAACAGCCAAGACTTCCCATCAGCCCTTGAGGCATTTTCAGCTACGGCTCAGATGCACCTGCTTTCTCCAGAAGAGTCATCCCCAAAATGTCACAGTCGAGGACTCTAGGGAGTCTCTGTAAGAGAGCAGGTACTCCCTGAGGAAAAACTGCACAGGCTGCGTTTTTCATGTACTAAATGGTATCACACAGCAGGTAAAAGAAAAAACTGAGAAATTCAGCTGTTTTTCTAAATGTGTTGTACCAAAAAATTCCCAATTAGATGGAATTATCTTTAAAAATGACAGCTTTTATAATACAACCACACTCTTTACAGTGTTTCATGTATGCCTTAAGGACAATTTGACTCTGGGGACAGAGTTCGGGACGAAGGGACAATCTCCTATGGGTAAAGGAAGTCAAGCCTCGCAACTGTTTTCCCGTCTTTGACCAGGTAATGAGGATAATCTCTTTAGAGCAGCAGTCACAGCATCAATCCTGGTGTCATTTGAGCTTTAAACAACAGACACAGTGCAAACCAAGACTTGTAGAGCTTTAAACAACAGACACAGTGCAAAGACTTGCGTTCTTGTTTACACTCTGACCATTTTAAATAAAAAATACATTTTTTAGCAAAGTCAGTGTCATGTTTTTAATGATGGATAGTAAGATATTTTCAGGACACGCCTGTCCCAACTTTCTTAACACTTAACAACAATGGCTATTATACAACATAGGTCATCCTAATTGTCTGTAAACCACTGTTTCTTGAGTGACGGGGACCATACAAAGTCGTCCCTTCATAATCACATCGGCACCTATATAATGTGAGAACATGAAAACATCACACAGAAACAGCATTTGTCCATCCGGGACCCAAACTAGTGACCTTCCTATAGTGACACAACTCCAACCACTGATCCACTACGGTATGTTGGCTCCACGTTTTCTACCAGTTAAGAAAATATACTGCATATTGTCTAAAAAATGATAATAAATATTCTTCGATTCCATAGCACATTAAAAATGCTGACCCTAAAGCATTGAGAAAATGGGGGGGAAAGTTTACACAACGTGAAAATGTATATATAAATATTATATATATCAACAACTTGAACCATTACAACACACCTGGGCAAGGTTGCCAAGTAAAAAAACATTTTTTTTACTAATAATAACAGAACAGTTTTGCTCTAGGTATTTTTTCTTTTATTTATTTATTAATTTTTACATACGATTTAAAATGGACGCTTTCAATTTTTATTTTAGAGTAAAAGCACTTACTCGGTGTTTTGTTCCAGGCGCCTCCACCTGCATCCCATCACAGTCCAGATCACTCTCAGCCTCAGCAGGTTGAACCGGGGCAGCTTCAGTCCTTACCCCCGGGACCAGTGCAGGATGCACGGTCAGAGAAACATCCGGAGAACTGCAGTACTGACCCAGTGTTAACTCTGGACACTGACCGTTACTCTGGTTCTGTTCAAAAGGATTTTACCGGAGGATCCCGGTTTAACATCGCGACCCCTTCTTTCCTTTGCGGCTTTCTCCTTGGGAACTATGCTGCGTTCAAATCCCCCTCGTAAAATCTACACCCACGCTTTTAATCGTGAATCAGAAAGGGGTTTTACTTTCACTTTATCGGAGAAAAAAAAACTACCTGAGAAACATTTAAATGCATTTAGAGGTTAACGCCTCTGTAGGTAGCTTCAACTGCTAATCACTTGATTTTAAATTAATGGACACATTAAATATTACCTACGATTTATTAGGATCCAACTGACCAAACAATGTGAACTAACTTCTGCCAACCTGACTACCATGACTACCATGACTAAATTAACACAGGTTACTCTTGTGTTCCTGCCACCACTAATATATAATTATCACGGTACTCCCTCCAGTATGAACCATGTAACTGTAGGCTTCTTGTAAGAAATTAAAATCTCTGTATGTACTTTTCAGCATTTGGCTATAATGAACAGGAAAACAAATTGATATATCTTTAACAAATAGAGGTGTGTAACAGAAAATAGTGAAGTTCATGATTTTATTTTTTGTTTGTTTGTTTATTTGGTTGTTTTTTTTACAATATTTGGAGGGCATTTTAGCTTACTTTATGTGCTTATAGCAGGTAACACAAGGAAACCTTGTGAACACAAGAATTTCATTCCACTCCATGTAGATGACCGACCATAGACGATTAAACAGATATCCGCTTCTTTGTGCAGTTGGAAAGATATTGACTTGCACACACAATCAAATTACTGGCACTACTCCTTTTATGGCCTCTTGGGTCATATCCTCAAAGCAGCTTTAGTGCCTTCAGTAATCTCTGCACAGTGCCATTCCTAACTGTTTGTCCTCAAGTGTGCCCTAACATAAAATGAATTGGATTTGGAACTGCTATAGATAAGAAATGATTGACATTTGCTTCTCCTATCTGCCCTAGTGTGTGATTTTAACTAGAATCACTGGAGGTACGCTGATGTTACATACACTGATGATAACATATATTTTGTTACGTGTACTAGTTATCCGAAACAAAATCATATTCTGTCTAATATATTTCCAACAGCAAGTGAACTCAGCGCTAGCCATATGCTGGACCAGCACTGTCACTCTCCTTCTGATTGGCTCAGAAGAAAAACGCTGGCTGAGGCCACACACAGACACGCATACATTCAGCCACTCCTTCCCAGCACATACACTATAAAGGCATGGAGGTGTGGTTGTGATGTCGAAGTGCATCGTTCAACTTGATTTAGTCTGGGTTTTATCAAATCTGTACACTGTTTAATTATTGTTTTATCAATAAGAGTGGGCTGAAGGTGACAAAGAAGATGATGCTGATATTTGTATTAGGTTTGATGATGAGGATACACAGAATGGGAAATGAGCTGATCAGAGGGGTGGCATTAGAGAGGCAGGGCTGCCAGGAAATTATACACCCACTGAGGATAAGTATTGATGTGATTGTTTTTGACAAAAAGACGTTAGAAAAGAGGGTGACATCAGAGTAAAGTCCTGGACATACAGTAATAAAAGAGGAAACAAAGTAAGATGTTGTACAGTACAAGTGCAGGATGCCAAAAAAGGACGAGGATATTTTTGACACTTACAGTTCTATTTTGAAGTGCTGACACTGCAGCTGAACTTTTAATACAGTAGTAGTAGAATCTATCTTGTTGCTTTAAATTGGATCATCCTTGAGGCTAATAATAAAAAGAAAATGTTTTAAACTCTATCCTATAACGACTCTTCAAACTACATTAGGATCTGAAAGGAAAACCAAATCAGACTGAAATGACTTCACAGCTCAGTGTACCTTCGCTTTTCCATTTTGACTAGTTTATTACTGTAAACAAAAAGCACTTATTTAGCTGTGTGTGTGCAGATGAATTATTGGTGTATGCAGGATACAGTGAGATTCAGTGAAAATGAGTAGATAGGAGCTGGATGTGTTGAAAGAGGAGCAGAGACTTAATGTACTGTGTATCCAGAAATGGCAGAAGCAATATGTTCAAAGGAAAGGCTTCTAGTATTGGTTACTCAGGAATATTACAATACAACAGAAGTTGAACCCTCCAGTAACCAATAGCTATTCACGACAATTTTTGTAAACAGATTTACAAGGACCCCAGATTATCATATGGTTCAGACAGTATGACAGGAAAGACGAAGATTTGAAATGTGTTATTTATTATTATTGTTATTATTATTTATTATTGTAATTTTTTTTATTTATTAATACAATGCTGGAGGATCAAATACATGAAATTCTGTATAGTTAGTTAGTTCATATACTTGTTAGTACACCATGGGCACATTAAAATTGTGATTTATTGTGACACTAATATAAAGTTAACATTAATGTTCTAAAGTACTTTATCTTTCTCTCTGAATCTATTTACACACTAAAATAGGACTAGTAAGCAGCCTATATTGTATGTAGGTCATACTGATATGTGGAGCCAAGTCCCCCTCCAACCACCGTGCTGAGGGCTGCCGTCATCTCAGTTTCCACTGCAAACAGCCTACAACCTGAGAACTCCGTATTGTGTCTTCACTAGAGTATTGTGATTTTGTGGATAGTTGCTCGGAAACAGTGGACCTTGCCTCCCAGAATCTAAAGGCAACCCCCACAGTAAGTGATAGCACCAGGGCGCAGCTAATGTTTACCTCCATCCATGGAAACAGACCCACTGAAGCCTCTTTTCACATGGGACATAACCTGGCTGAGTAAAAAAGATACTTGTGTCTCTGACGTCTATCCTGGTTCCCTGGTAGTTTCTTAAACGTAGGAACAAATACAAACAGGAAAACTTGAAATAAGCTTTTATATTTCATTCATATCAATTTATGTTTTCCCTGTACACTTCTGTGATCCTTCCTTTATATATATATGCTTAGGATTCTGTTGTGCCTGATGACCTTTGACTATGCAGACTAAAGGTCAAATGTCACTCCATGTCACTAGAAGCTAGCTTATTCTAAGCAAAATTAGAAAATATGGTCTAACACCTAACAAGAATAAAAAGAAACAGAAAAAAGAAAAGTCACAGTTTCACTAACCAACCAGAAGTAGAACACATCTAACAAACAGGAACAAGGGAAACAAAGGATCTAATAAGATCAGGGGTAAGTCTATCATCCACCAAGAACAAGATCAAAAACAGGAATAGAAGTAAGTATAAAGGCAGGGAAAAGAAGCTGAAGCAACAATCCAGAATAATAATCCCTTAGCTGCCAAAGGAAATAGAGTCTAAATGTCTCTGTAGGTCAAGAAGGATGATTACAAACAGATATGGGATGTAAATGTCACTGGTGATTGTTTATATTTTCATGCAGATCTACAGATTATTTAATTTTCATGTCTCTTATATCAAACTCATTCTGACTATAGGAAACATGAAGAATAAAATATCTGTACCAGGACAACACAACTTGAGCCCAGTCGATCTGAAGATTGAATCTCTACTTGCAAATCTGAGCATTTCACTTCATTTTCACTTACACGCATGGTCACATACCATCTCCTCATGCAGTGTGAGTGGACAAGAGGCTGAAGGACAGCATTGTGAAACCATTGATTCCCTAAGCTTGTCTAATCTGGACATTCCACCTTTCCTTAATGCTAATACTTTAATGTTTGGAGGCAGTTGAGCATATGGCCTCAGCACAGCAAGACCAGAGCTGGAATTCAAGGATTACAGCTTATTATCAGTTCACAGAAAGAAAAAGAGATTAGTGTCACTGCCACAAGGCTCATGAAGTTCAGAGCCTCGGTGTCTCATTGAGACTGAAATGGCAGTGAGTTTCAATGCCACACTTCATTAGTCTCATATTGAACTTCCAACTTTCTACTCTTCACTGTGGTTTTATGTAGTGACTGCTATATCATTTATTTCTGCAGCATCCAAACAGCGTAAGTACAAATAGTGTCTGGAAGGTTTGTGAGTCCAGCGATGTGTGAGCTGTAGTTTCTGGGATATTTAGCCATTGATCTTCTACAGCTTCATCTTATTAGTGATTGTAGGAGAGCTTGAGCCAATCCCTTCTGACATTTGGGAGAAAGTCAAGGTTCATCTGGGCAGTTTGCCAGATTGAATTTACAGGACACAGTGACTAAAACGCCATATAAACAACAGAGAGTTTTCTGTGTTCTTTATCTGGTTTTGGATTTTGATGGTAAACTGGATTACCTGGAAAAACCCCACATGCAAAAAGAACATGCAAATGGGTCAAGGAAAGGCCATCTGCTAAACAGGTGACATGAATCGGTGCTTCACTGCTGTGAGTTTAAACTCGAATTGTTTAAATAATGGTTACAGTTAACAAAGATTATAAACCCTGAAGGTCTAGACTGTTTGGGGAATCTCCCATGGTGCCTTAAACTCTATCATATTATTTCTCTCTTGTTTATTTATTAAATGTTAATATTATCTATTATCTCTCAAATTTGAATTATTTAGCAAATATAATATTAAATACCTATTTTTTCCTTTTATTTAGGTTTAGCATAGAGGTAGTTGTCTTTTACATGTTTTTCCCGGGAGCGGAAATTAAACATAATTGGGCTATAAAATTAAATTGTATCATTAAATTGTATGGTAAGGCAGATCAACTGCAAAATATGTACATTCCCCAACAAACAACACCTAAAACAAAGCTAGCTCTATCCATTACCCTTCACATTACTTTTGTCAGATTTTAATGAGCTGACTTTTTTGTTTTAATTAAACGTTTTCATACAGTAAAGCCTCAGGAGCCATGTGCCGTTTACCCTGAAGACGCACTGGCGTGACCAACTCCTGATTGACAGATAATTAACCAATAGTTTACCAGCAGGAGGAGTCTACGCCAACAGAGAGAAGGCGGGATTTAGGAGGCACCGCTGGGGTGATCAAGGCACTGCCATACATGGTTGTCGGAAAAACGGAACGGTAGAAAAGTGGAGATAGGCCAAAATGAATGGGACAGCTTATTCCAACTTTGACAATCAAGATCATGTCCTGAAACTGGGGGAGACTTTTGAGAAACACCCGAAGAGTGCCTTCCACACAGTGCGATGTAAGTGGGACTTTGAATTGGTTGGTGATGTTTGGCTTCAGAGGCTAAATGTAGCATGCTAATAAGCCAGTTAGCTCCCTAACTATTGAAAGCTGTTGAAACCGTGTAGTCAGTTGTGACGTTTCCGCCTACTGGCGATTTTTTTATTTAACTGTGTTAGAATATTAGCCGATATCAATGTTAATGTTGTCAATGTACATTTGTTGAATATTAACCGTTAAAAATCTTTGCTCACCAGCTGTCAGAACACTTGCCTCTGTTGGCATTGTCTCTAACGATACATTACCGCCATCTAGTGCACAGTTACGTACAATACATTGATAAATGCACGTTGACTCATGAGAAGAAAAATTGCGTGCACAAACAGGTACAATATATTATGTGAAAAAATGGATACTAACGTTACCGACAAAACTTCTTTAAAAAGTAGTTCATTATATATGTATATACGTATGTAAAGATGTAAGCCATTGCAATTTCTATTTTGTTTCACTACAGATGATTTTAAACCAGCTTCTATCGACACAGCATGTGAAGGGGAGCTGGAAGTTGGCAAAGGAGAGCAAGTCACTATTACTTTACCCAACTTAGAGGTCAGAGGTTAAAGCTGCAAAGTTTTGAATAATTGAAAAGCAACTAATACTTAATGCTGTTTTTGTTGATGCATTGTAATAATATAGTACTTGAGTGATGAGTGAACGTTTGCTGTGGTGGTGAAATATCACAAATTTGCACTCCTTGTCCTAACCAATAAAATATGAATAGTTTTTAACCATAATATTTAATATAAATTACATAATACTTCATACAAACAATTCTTTCAAAGTCTTTAATTAGTTTCAACAGGTATATTTTAAGGAAAGAGGAAACAAGCTTTGTCTATTTCTTGTATTTTTATAGGGTTCAAGTGCTCCAGTAACAGTTTTTAAAGGATCCAAGAGGCCTTACATGAAAGAGTGCATCCTTATTGTCAACCATGACACAGGAGAATACAGACTGGAAAAACTCAACAGTAACATAGCTGTGAAAAAGACCAGGTGGGTAGGATCTTTTCTACAACAAGAAAAACTAAGGAAGAAAACATACATCTAAAAGTGTTGGCTACATTTTTTTTCTTTCTCAGAGCTGAAGGTAGCAGCAAAATTCATTCCCGCCTGGAGCAACAGACGAGTCGCCTGAGTCAACAGATGAAGAGCAACAACCACCAGAGTAGCAGCAAGTCATCAGCCAGCTCCAAGAGTTCTCCCCCGAAGGAGAAGACCTCCCCTGCCTCCCCAATGGATGACATTGAGAAAGGCACAGTATCTTTGAAAATATCACTGCACTGGCTCTTCGTGAATTTCTATTTCTCTCATCACTGTATGTTCCTTCTGTAAATGGGATATTCATTAGCTAAGTTTTTTGACTTGTGCTGCTGTGTGCAGAACTGATGGCTGAGGCACAGGTCATGGATCAGCTGAGCAGCAATGACAGCTCTTCCAACAACAGTTCCTCGTCCTCCAGCAGCGATGACAGCTCCAGCAGCAGTGACTCAGAGGACGAACGCACCTCAGCACTGCCTCCAGCGAACCACAGCATGCCAGTCATCAGCACCAGCAGCCACCACCAGGAAAGTGGAGGACTAATGAACACGCTGAGTGAGTAGCTCTTATATCCTTGCCACTAGAATTAGTAGGTAAAAGGTTTTTTATACTGTTATAGACCTCGGTAAACAGGCAGTATAAACAGATCCTCTGTTGTATTTCCCGAAGGGAGCCACCAACATGAGTTAACACACAAGCCCAGACAAAGAGGTTAATTTTCGTCATCATATCGTTGCAGAGAATGACCTACAGCTGAGTGAATCAGGAAGTGAAAGTGACTGAACAACAAGAACAAGCCTGGACACCTGGGGACAAGTTGGGGGTTTCAAGAGAAGACTACAGAAACCCCAGCACAAAGACCTGACAATGTCTTACTCCCTTAATAGACCTTCATTACATATCCACAATTCTTTTAGAAAGTATAATTTCTTGCACCTATATCAGCAAGCTTAAAATAAGTCTTATTTATCACTCTTTATTTTTGTATGTAAAGACTATGCATTGAAGTGATGCCTTATTTCAGACTGACAGGATGTAGCCGTTGTAACAGAAACGGTAAATGTAGACTTCAAGTTCATCTGAGCCTGACGTGGTGTTCATGTCGTGTAGATGGAGGTTTCTGTCCTTCACCCAGTCGCCTCAAGACCAGTTCCTACATCTCAGCTCAATTATTGATTGGCAAAGGAGAAGTCAGGTGATGTCAAATAACATCTGTTCTTCTGACGCTTCGCTGCCTTAGCTTTGTATATTGAGATAAAACTTAAACCTATGTTGAAGAGCCTCTATTTAGAGTTTATGGTGAATCTAAATTCAGCATTCTATATTTCAGTCAAACAGTGTGTAGTGCACTAGTACTCATTTGATTGAGGAAGTCATGCTTTGTAGCTTTGAACCTGCAATACTTGAATCTATTTATATTTCAAAGTATAGTTGACCAATGGTGAATAGCTTAATATATTTTATATCTATTTTAATAGCCAATCAAATGAAAGAACAGATCAACAGGAACTAACTGTGATAACAGAGATGGTTTAATACTGCACTTCACTTTAGAGTCTTACTGAACATTATTTGCCTTTTGTTATTTTTCTCTTAAGGAGCCGTGTTGTATGTGGTATATAGCTTTATCACAAACCCTATGTTAGTGCTGACATGTCTGAAATCCATAGACTGTGTATAAAAAAATGGAGTGATCGTCTAGTTTTATTACTAAGTGGACTTATGATGACCCAACAACAGAGACACCACGATACTTTTAAAGCTTTTATGGAACTTAAGCAGCTAATGTTTATCAACTCCTTAATAAGACACAAGGTTCCATCTACTATAGTGCTTTATCTTCTTATTCCCTATCAATGCAATCACACCATACACATCTGCATCTCATGTCGTACTACACAAGACCTGACACTAGTGGTTGAGACCATAACACCTCTGGTAAATGTTTATGGACAATATTATTTGAGATTTTTTTTTTTCATTCAGATACCTGGGCTTATATCAGTTTATTATACGCAGTCTATGGTTAGTACTCAGAAGGCTAAAACTGCACTCTTTGTTGCAGCATTTCTTTAGTATAAGACTGAAATGGTTACCTTTGAAACACAGTTTAGCTTTAGAGTGGCAGCCTCTGATTGTGATTTGTAAAGAACCGGAAAAGAATTTCTGTTTTGAGAATAAATATTTTAAATGTGTTACCACATGTTACGTGTTTTTATTTAATGTTAATACCTGGAAAAGGGTTAAATATGTATATATTACATATAAACACATATTTACATAATAAATATATATACATACATTATAAATGCATACACATACATATGAATATACATATATACAGTAGATTATTATTATTATATACATATATGGTTTTCATATAGGGATTTAATAAATTACCTAACTACAAGAAACAAATTAGTTCAGTCTGCTCTGAAGAACAACAACACTGTGCGTGAAGGCAAGTGTCCACCAAAACAACGATATGGGGAAAATGCACCACACAAGTGTTTACTGGCTTTTGTTAATTGATTCTTCAATTTAAGCGTTTGTTCTCTGCTTTTTTGAACTCTATGACTTGAAGGAGTTTTGGTACAGAAACAGCCTTTCTGTAGTCTGAGGTGATAAATGGTTTCTCCTGGCTTTCATGATACACGCTGCCATTGGAAACAGCCTGTCGAAGCCCCCTGCTGTTGCCGGTACCGCCAGCAGCTTCCTGGCGACGCTCTGGAGAAGGGGGAAACGAGTAGCTGATTTCCAGTACAGCAGAGTGGAACTTACCTCCAAGAGTGGTTCTTCAAGGTAAACCTCAAACTCCGACATCTTCTTCATTTTAGCAGGTTGTTGGAGAAAATTAAATATGGACTTGCGTTTGAGGGCATTTCCATCGACTTTATCCACACCACTCTCATCTCTTCTGTTATTTGAAGCCTCTTTTAGGTCAGTAATGGGAATCTCTTCATTCTGCTCCATTTTAATTTGATGCTCTGTCTGGTATTTGTTTTCTTCCATGGAGCTAAACGCAGGGGCAGCAATGCTTTCCAGTGTGGCTTCCATAATCTCACAGGCTTCATGCTTTGTTGGAGGAGTAAGAAACAAAGTCTGGTCCTCAGCTCTATTATCAGGAAAGGTCTGAAAAAATAAGAACAGGGTTTTAAAGCCTGGTGCAGTAAACGGTACTACTGTCTTTGCATTTGTTTTTCCACTTAGGGTTTTAATAAGTTGACTTTGTGAGAGCACCATTTTAAGAGCGTAACAAAAGCTTTTATGCCATTTTCAATACCTTTAATTTAATCCTGGGGTCAAGCAGAGCTGCTAGTACAATGTCCTTCTGGAAGATTAGAGACTGGAAGTGTCTGTGCAGGCCTGTACGTAGAGCCTCTCGAAAGTGGGTGTAATCTGTGACGCAGCTCTCCAGGGTCTTATCAAGGCCAATAAGGGAGGGTATTATCAAGCAGACTGTCGCACCACTTCCTTGAAGGACCTATGTCAGAACAGAAAAAAAAAGTTAACATATGGTATACTGTATTACACAACTCACTAGACTTTAGAGTATTACTATTTTCCACCTGTAAGGCTTCCTCGAAGGGCTGCAGGAGCGTCAGGATGTCAATAACTTGCTCTCTCGTCGCCATGATAAGAGGCAGGACACTGTCTGTGTCAGTGGCTTCTGCACGAGCCTGAGCAAGGGCAGTCATAACTGCAGTCCAGGCTGCCTCCTGTGCCATACTCCGTAATAAGAGCATCATATTGTTCCAGCGACAGTAAGTGGAAGGAAGGCACAACGACACATTAAACTCTGTCAGCAGCACCTGAAAAATACACAAAATAAAAAACAGAGTGAAGCCCAATGCATTGTCTCACACCAAAATACAGGCAAAAATTGAATATAATATCTTGGAATTACTAGTTTTATATCCAGCTAGTAAAAAGAAATGTATTTTTTTCCCCTGTGTATTTAATATAATAATATAAGACTAAAACAATCTTTTTGGAACTACAGCTCTGACAGTTTCATAGAAATTATACAGTACATCACAAATTACAAGAAAAATGTATTTAATTAGTTGACAACCAAATAACCCCTTTCATTAAAAATGTAATGCTTTTGAAAAGAGAATCATAGTTTAAAAAAATCCAAATGAATGAACTTCCAAATGAATATGATGATGTGACCTGTTTGTCTGTTTGTCTTACTTCACTCCAGGATGCGCTGCTCCGAAAGAAAGCTACGACATCGTGGACCTGTGAGAGCAGGTTCTCCACGACCCTGGAGTTCTTCAGAGCCTCTGTGATCACCTGCTGCAGTCCCCTGGCTACACAGGTAGTTTCAGTCCCAAACTCTAGCTGTGGAAAAGGTGATAGTGTTTCTGGCATCTGGTCTGACAAAAAAGTCATCACCAAATCTCCGTCCGTCTCTCCTTCAGTGGACGAACACATGATCTCAAAGTCACCAAACAGCATGTTTGCAGCCAGGGCCTCGTTGGCCAGATTGATGAGGATGTAACCGATGCTGTGAGGAAAAACACCGTAGCTGAGGACCACGCGCTCCAGCTCACTGGCCACAGCACTGCTGAGGATTTGGCAGCTGAGATGTCGAAAAGCTATGATTGGCCGTCTGATCTGCCAAGTTTCACTGATAAAGTGAAGCTGCACCACGATGACTGGCACCTCCCCCAGTTTGGTGTCATCCCCTGACCACAGGTCAAAGGTGACATGAATTTTTTTCTCACCATCTTTGGTTGTGGTCTCAAGTTCTCGGATGAGCTGAGGCTTGAATGTTGTCTCGACATCACGGTAGAGCTGCAGACTCACGGCACGCTGGCTGAGCCTGTTGTATTCAGGGCTAATAGAGTTCATGAAGGACCTGAAGCCTCTGCCTTCGACAAAACTGTGGGAGGGAAGACAGAAGCCGTCTAACTCTATGAAACTTAATGTGAATGAAGTTTGGAATACTTTGAGTCACCTGAGTGGCAGCATCTCTTCAGCGATCATTCTTAACGCTGCATCTTGAAATTTCTTTTGTTCTGTATCTGTTGCTGGTGCAGCTGCTGAAATGAAACCGGGGCTAGGATTGGGATGAGGACTGAGTGGCATGATGGGGCTTTGAGAAAGTTCTCTCTTTAAAGGGCCACTCTGTGGAGGTTGAAAAATCATTTTCAGAGAGTCTTTTTTGTTCTCCGTGTCCAGCTCCAACTGCAGCAAAACAGCAAATACCCGAATGAAACAAGAAACCTCTGTTGAGAACTTCAGAAAAGGAATTAAACACTAAGACGAAACCTCTGTTGAGAACTTCAGAAAAGTAATTAAACACTAAGACAAAAAAAAAACAAAAAACGTACCTGTTCATCAGGTTCAGATACAACAACACACTGAATGTCCATCTAAAACAACACATAGCAATTATTTGGATTTACAAATAGCATTAACAGATTTTTAGCAGTATTACAATGACATATGAAGTCTGACTAATAAACATCAGACGTTAACATTTACTAGATAAACATATCCACATTTCTGTCTTTTATCTGGGAAAGAATAAATAAATAAAATGATACAAAGTTATTTACAACTGTAAGAAACAGATTTATAACAGATTCTGGATTATTCTCACCTTTTCATCTTCCTCTTTTGTCCAAATATTATTCTGCAGGTCAGGATCCAGATGGTTTTTCCAGCGTTGCATGCACTGAACATCTGTCCTTCCCTGTTACAGCAATAAACAAATTCATGTATTTTGAACAGATTGTAACAGTATGAACTGTATTCAGCACCTAAATAATAAACATTCAAAGCCTATGCATCTTCACTTCTTGTAGGACTTACTGGAAAAAAGAAACTGGCAATGGCTTTCCAGTCCTTTTGTCTCAGATTTTTGATCAGTATTCTTAAATTGTCATCCTACAGACATGAGTAATATTTGGCATTTGATTAGGTTATTTATAACATCTCATTGCTCAAAGTGTAGCAACCTACTAATGTTGTTAGCATTAGTGTAGAATCAACAATTATTATAAGTAAGACGATGATATACTTGTAAAACATCACCTCTTCTGGAGTCCATTCAACTTCACTCTTGTCTGCTGCGGCTCCAGGCGTGGGCATCCAGAACAAGCCTGTCTCATCCACATTAAACACTTGTTCAGCACTGTAACCCCCATCCTTAAATATCCCAGCCAAAGTACTTGGAAGATCACTTGGTGCCTTCTCGTAACCACTAGCAGCTTTCCCTTGCACCTTAAGGTGATGCAAATTAGCACGAGCCTTAAACCGCATAAACCAACCTTTACTAGCGCCGAACTTTTCACTTTTACTCCCTTCACCTTTTTCTCTTTTCAAGGTCTCAAACAGGCTTTTAGCCTTCTCTTGAATCAACACAAGTGTCACTGGGATACGTCGTTGACGCTGATCTTCCAGCCACAGCATTAATAATCTTTCCATCTCGACAATGAGACCACTACGCTGCTTTGTAATCACTGTTGATTTCATAGGAGGAGATCCTTTCACATGTTCAAGTATACGCTTTTTATCGCAGATGATCGTCGAGACGGTCGTGCGACTTAAGCCAAGCACCCGGCCGATGTTCGTCGGTGTTTCGCCCTTTTCTGACCGTGTTATTATGTCTAATTTCACTTCCATGGAAATTGCTTTCCTTTTCTTTAAATAAATACCCTCAGAAGAGTCTGATTTACGCTTGGGAGACATAATGATGATACATAAAATGTAGCACAATCCAATATGGACCGGCTAAGGTAAACAAAGCCGTCTCGTCCGGTCCGCTCGCCAACTACTTCCCAAGCGAAAGTTGTTTGAATGTAACAAACATCGCACGTAAGTATGATGGAACAAGACTTTCTTCAAAAACTGTGGGATGTTGCGACGTAACCACGAAACGCCGTAGGTCGCGGACGTCGTAAATAAAGGACTTGCTGTACGTTAACCATGTCACTGCCCGAGCTGCAGCGCGGCCATTTTGCGCAAGCGCAAAAACACCACGTTCTCGGACCTCTACATACGGTAGCTGCACTTGGACAAAATTAATTAGAGTTGAGTTTTCTGCGGCGGCGCGTTTGGGCTCGCGCAACATAGACCAAAAAAACAAAAAACAAAAGCAAGCAAACGCTTTAAGGTAAGACAAGACCCAACTGGAAAGACTGTGAAGCCCCTCACCAGAACCCTGCCTTGTCCTGCAGTCTCTGGACAGAGGAAGATGTCAACATTCCCAGCAGGAGGAGTTTCTGTCTGAACGTTTTTAGTATTCATTCAGTGTTCTCTGTCTGGCATCAAACTCCTAGAAACTAAGACCTCACACCATGGATGGAATGTACTCCAACTGTAGCTATTTAGAGGGACGAATTGAAATTAACTCCACTTCAGCCCACCCCATAAATAAAATGAATTGTAAAATTTAAAAATATTAAAAAGGAAAATGAAGCAAGAATAAACAATAATTCTAATAAAAGTCACATGTACCACTAAAGTGCTTTCAAGTACCACAGAAGGTACACTTTGCATTAACCATCACTTCTACTGAAGTTGTTCCTTAGAAAACGAGGATTAAATAATGTCTTAATTTCTTATTTATTTTAAAATAATAATAATAATAAAAATATTATAAAAAACTCTTGTTTTGCTATGTTTTTTTCTTATAGCGGATTCGTCTGTTTTACTTCAGCAGCTGTTTGACACAGAATGAAAACATCTTACATTAGAGACAACTGTTGGCTGAACTTATTTTCCTGCATGATAATAAAGCACAAATAAAAAGACAGATGCATTGTCATCTGTGAATGCTGGTGATGTTGGTCATGATAAAATGACAGAATAATTAAAATATCAAAGTGAACTTCGATGTACTACATAATATAAGACTACGACTATTTTTGGATTACTGCTGCCCTCCCGTGGGCTGTGATGACACTACATAAATATATTTGTGCGTTAAAAAAGAAACACAAGAGAATAATACTTTTTTAATACTACCGAGGGATATTTGATTATCTAAAACGTCATTCTGTAAAGAATTGTGCTAACGTTTCAGGGAAGTGTGTACGTGTATTATACTGTATATATATGTCCTATATTTACCGTATGTACTATATTTACACTATACCATATGTATATGTACTAATGTACAATATTCAACAAAATCAATGTACTGGAGGCACAAGCTTTTTTAAAAAAAGGAAAATATCTGTGTATTCAAAATAATACACTTGTGTAGGCTATAAGTTTAATCATTAAAATACAGTGGTGGGCCTTCATTGAGTCTGTGCAATGTAAGCGAACCGAAGCGAACGGGCACATACAGTTGATAGACAGTTACGATAGCCAATCAGATCACGAGTTGTTGACAGTAGGGCTTTTAGCTGGCTTCACGTTAAACGTGACATGTATGCTTCCTGTGATTGGATACTCGCTTACCGCGGTAAAACAACAAGAAGTTCAACGCAGGTTAGCCGATTAGCAGAGAGAGCAATCTAATATCTACTCGTTTTTTTATTCCACAATGGCCGAAGGAGGGCAAAACGTGGATTTGCGAACTTAAATTGCTTAACTAAGGCAGCAATGAGACACCAAAGTACGACTGGACACTTGCAAGCTACGGTGCTTCTAAAACTTTTGGGGACACTTGAGTGGATGCACAGCTCAAAGAACAGGTGCGAAAGGGATTTATTGTTGGAACTGAAGCGCCCAGATGAACTGTACAACCAAGTCATTGAGGTCTTCTTGAGGAAAGAAAGGAGAATGGATTTTGCGTTGAAATAAGTGTTTTGGAGGACAACTGTTTTGGTGAGTACAAACATTTTATTTATTTACTTGCGGATTTATTGATTTTTAATGCGTCAGAAAATAGCCCGTTTTGTACACCATTGAGGTTATGCAATGCCCAGTAGTGCTTATAGTGTGTTTCTGTATACAATTTCTCCAGCCGTGGCCACGTGGTGTCCTAAATTATGATATTAGGAGAGGTATTTATTGAAGTCGGAGTAAGTAAGACATCACTGAAGGCCTAGGTGTGAAATGCACGGCCCGCCACTGTTAAAACAAAATATAAAATGGATGGATCTTCACTCGGAATTGCTGTTTTTGTTATGCTGAAACGTCCAGCACTGCTTCTACTTCAGGCAGATGCGTTGTTCCCCAAACAGCAAAGGAAATGTTTAAGCCAAGATTCCCAGACAGCATCATAAAATAAGATAAAAATTCCAAAGGGTTATAAAATATACAACATGGATGACAGAAGTTTACAAAGAACAGAGGAAATGAAAACATGATCAAACATTTCTAAAAAATGACACAACATTCATACTGTAGAGAATCGTGCGTATATTCGCCATATCTAAATCGATTGACAACCGTAAACCCAACACGTGTTTTTGCACACACAACAGTAAACGCACACATACTGAAACTAATCAGTTTACATCGGCGAGACTCTAATTATCCCACTGTCAGGTCTGCGGTGGAGACAGTAACAACTACTCTATTGTACGACCAAAAAGTGGCCGTTGTAAAACTCGGTTCACTCTGTCGCTCACTTATGTGATTTGATTCACTTCAGTCACTTTCTCAGTGTTGAGTCAAAACAACGAAATATAATACACAATCTAGGAACGTTAGAAAATTAAGTCTTGTCAAATGTCCAAGATAGTGACAAGGTAGGGAACATATTCCACATATATTTTCACCGTACAGTCCTCAGGCATTTTTGAAGATAGATAGTTGTACTTATTTTAAATGTATAATCAAATATATCATAGCATATCATAATTTAAAACAATACAAAGGACTTTGTTGTTTTGTAATTTCTACATACTATAAAGTTTGCTGTGTATAATTGCTGTGAATACTAATGATGATAATAAAGGCGAATACCGTCATGGAATGAGGTTAGTGAACCGAGTCCCCAGTACTTCCGGTGAGTACTTTAACTTTGTGTAGTAACAGAAGACGCAGCATCTACCATGAAGACTCAGCGGGTCCGAGTTTAATGGAGACCCGGTTCCTTGTAACTCAGATAAATATTTGAATCATAAACTCGGGTGATTCGGCTCTAGTAGAAGGCAGTGCTGTGCTTGCACTGTGGAATTGTAGTAATTGTGTTAAGGAGCCAGTGGAATATTAACTTTTAAAGTGTAGCTTTATGAGTACAGAGGATATTCCGCGTTTTTACACCGGTGTCCCCAGAGCAACAGCAGCGGTGGGACGGACTTGGATGTCAGTCAGGAGCTCCTAGTCAAAGTGTTGAGATCTGAAGTGTACATCAGCAACCAAAGCAACATGACGAAGGTAAATGTCTACTATATTCACTTTATTTCGCGTATCCTGCTGCCCGGGATGGTTTTAAACGCAACTAACGGGAATATTTTGAATGGAAACGAAAACGAACGAACGAACTTAGGATACTTGCAGTGAGGACGCAGACCGTGCCTCTAAAATGTTCGTAAAAGTCTTCTAAAAAGTATTTTTTGGTCTGTTTTTACCACCAGAGTTCGATTCGTTGAGTTATTCATTGATTAATGAAGAGCTTTGATGATGCATCTGGCCGCCGCTGCATCATCTCTACAGACAGAAAAGCAACACAGTTGAAACATGCGTGTAAATAGCAGTGCCACATGGACTTTCTGAGGAGAGAAAATAACTCTTTAATGACCGCTTCCCATAGATATCATGTCTGTACAGCCTCAGAGCTATTGGACCGAAGTTATGAGACGAGTGCTTGGTATTTTCTGCAGATAAACAGCTAAATAGAAAGAAAAGGCAAGATTCGTTTATAGTGGTGTTTAAACTCTACACTGTATGATACACGTCCATATTTTAAGCCATACTATCAAAAATAAGGCATGGGGGTCAAATGTGGTTCAACAGTAGGAGGTCTCATCCAGCCCTTCAATGATGTATTTATTAAGGCAGTCATAATGAACTTGTTGATTGCGTTGATTAATTTGTGAAGATTATTTTTGATAAAATGCATTAACGCAAAGGCATACATACACAGAAACACATGTCTTTTTGGTCAAAGGGACAGCTATGACATAGGTCACGCAACGGTCTCCAAATAACGATAAGTTAATAAAATAAAGATAGAGATTAGGAGACTTAATGGAACAGGTTGTTAGTAAGTTACTACTTAGAGGTAAACATTTGGTGCTTTTTTGGGATTCTCTCTAGAAACAAATAATCTGCAACAGATATATGAGTCCAGGTCTTCTGCTTTAGATATATTTTACTATAAATACAGTAATATTTTTGTCAGGTTGACAAATTAGTATTGTATTAATAGTAATATAGACCATTTAATGTTTGTGGGATGTCAAATATGAGCAGACTCTGCATGTAATTAATGTAAGCGTTAAATCACAGTAATTAATTAACAGCTGGATCATTCAGTGTGAACATCACCAGCATGATGGTGGATCATGTGCATGTACTGTATATACTGTAATCTAACCAAATTAACCTGCCCTGCAGCTAAAATTAAGAGTACCATGTTGTGAGTAGAAAACAACTGGAGGTTATTTTCTCCAGGCCAAACACGGGGCATGAATTAGCATGTTGCATTTAATTGTTGTTAGAATCTCACTGTCTGGATAAAGGCATTTCTCACATAAACTCTGTGTTGTCAGAAGGACAGCTCACAAAAGCAAACTTTATACTTGCGCCTATCGCTGTTGTTTACTTTGTTAAAGATAGAATTTAATAATATTCTCACATATTGCCCTTTCCCTTTTCGCCGTCTTCTTGTCAGTAGGAAGCTGTAAAACACATTACAACTGTGTACTGTGGAATGAAGTGTAGATAAAGTTTCATTGTTCACTCAGCACCAGATTGAGGCTGAAGGCGATAACAACTGAGTATATAAAAATAAAAAAAAAACATTATGTCAGAGCACAAATTTGTTACAGGCACAATGATTAACTATAATTTTATTTTAGGCTAGTGACAAACCGGAGCAGCACATCTGTGTCATGGAAATATTGATTTACTGACAACTCCTGATAAACGAATGTCACACGGTGTCTTTTAAAGGAGGTGGTCGATTGAAAAGATCAACTAACATTCTCTGAACTAATTTTGCTGTCTTTCAGAAAATATGTGGCACCAATTACCCTCTGAGCATCTGTTTCATCGTAGTGAACGAGTTCTGCGAACGCTTCTCCTACTATGGCATGAAAGGTATGGAGAAGAAAAATCTGTATGGACAGCACATTTTCACTGAAGATATGGCTGTAAGGGGCATAGCTACATAGTGTTACATAAATCTCCTAAAATCAAATGGAAACTAATGTTCAGTAACATTTATGGACGATTTCTGTGTCATTTCTTCACCCCAGTCCATCCATTCTATACAGTAATTGTGTCAGTAATGTAATTAGTCTCTCTTCAGAAATAGGTGTAGTATTTGTAATTGTAGTATTCAACAATTGGTAAGCTCCAAAGACTGTATCAGCCTATTGAATTGAACACCAAGGAAAAAAAACAACCTTTTGTTGATGAAAAAACTATGTATAAAAACTTAAAATAAATCAACACGAAATTGTAAGTTCTTCATTGGTTTGAAGAATGCAGGTTGACATGGAGAACGCAAAGTTGAAAATGCTACGGGGAGAGTGGAGGACACAGACAAACTGTACTGTAGTTGTTATCAAACCTGTGAGACTCAGATGTTTTGCTGCACAGAAGAAGACGTTCAATCATAGTGTGATAATGTAATCAAATCAAAGCTGCTGTCTGAAATAACCTGCATTGTATGTTTTATTTTTGTGTGTGTGTGTAATCTAATATTCTGGTTCTGTTCACAGCGGTGCTGACTCTCTACTTTCTCACCTATCTTCACTGGGACAAGGACCTGTCCACCGCTGTTTACCATGCCTTCAGCAGCCTGTGCTACTTCACACCCATCCTCGGAGCTCTTATCGCTGACTCCTGGCTTGGAAAATTCAAGTAATATATATATTATATTTACTCATCTGTGACAACTGACCTACAGTAAGTTAGGTTTAGCTGATATCATCAGTGTACAGGAAGGCTTTGAGGCGACGCTGATTCACTGTGATCACAGACTGATCCACTGATTTGAAATAACAATAGTGATGTTACTCAGGATGTCCATAATTACAGCTCTGTCTCTGCAGGACCATCATCTACCTCTCCATCGTCTACGTGATTGGTCATGTGGTCAAGTCGGTTGGAGCCATTCCCACAGTGGGTGACACCACTGCACATATGTGAGTTTCTGTTGATGCTTTTGGCATCTATGAAGAAATGCGATGGGAACCAAAGGTTTTACAAAATAAATAGGTGCAAGTTTGTTTAAATACCAAAAAATAAACGACTATATTATGGCAAATTAGATATAGCTTAAAAATAGCTATAACTCATCAATGGATAAAAAAGGGATTTACTTTAGAAAAAAAACTACCTGAGAGTTTCTAAATGTCCAGTTGCTGCACAGAAAATGAAAGTTAGTCTGTGGTTTTTGTTTTTTTTTTCCTCATGAGTGTGTTTGTGTTTCAGTGCTCTCTCCATTGTGGGTCTGATCCTCATTGCCTTGGGAACTGGTGGAATCAAACCCTGTGTTGCAGCGTTTGGAGGAGACCAGTTTGATGAGGAACATGTAAAACGCTGCACTTCCTGTGGTTTTAGAGGCATTAATGTGGTTTAGTCAGACAGTTGGTGCTGTAACCTAAATGTTTCAATAGCAAAAATATATTTAAAGGTTAGAAGAAGTGGTAGTAGATATGTTGTTTTTTGGTAACTGGTTATTTTTTTTTAGAAATAAATGCGATTTTCCCCATTGTGGGATGAATAAGGAACTTAATTATTATTATTAAAAATAACAAAACTGTTATATGTCCAACATATATTTATTATCATATGTATACTCTGTAGTTAAATATACCAAATTAAATTATTTCAATCCAAATAATGATACAATAAACTCAATTTAATAGTGCAGAATAAGATCCAATTCATTGTACCTTTTCCAAATTACTTCTGACACTGATACAGCACTTTCATCTGGCCTAGCCAAAATGGGTGTACATTAAAAGGGGAAACGTAGGCCAAATATCTATTACCAAATCAGTACACGATCCTAATATACTTTGCTTTTGGCAGTTTTTAGCACAGTTGTCTGTGTTTTTCGTATATGGGCCCGAGGCAAAATTCAACAAAAATATCAAAAATATCCTTTCATGGCGTTAGCTCTGAAGCTCTTTATTATTTTCATCAATTTATTGGATTTATTCAGTCTTGCATCTCAAAATAGATAAAGGCGACCAAGTCCGACTTGTGGATTTCGAAAGCATTAACACATTTATAAGGCTTAGTTACAACACTTGACACTTGACATTATAAAACATCTTAAAGCTATTTTTGGTGTTTGAAGTGTGGACACATTTGGACTTATAACTTGTCTTTTTGACTAACCAACATTTTTTGCTAACAATTCCAGACTGCAGAGAGACAGAAGTTCTTCTCCATTTTTTACATGTCAATCAATGCTGGCAGTGTTCTGTCCACATTAATCACACCGTTACTGCGCGGTGAGTGCTTGGAGATGATTGTCACATGTTACTGACCCTGATGTGATTACCATACTGTCACTGTGAACTCTATCAGTCAACAAAGTTTCTCTTTGTAGGTAACGTGCAGTGTTTCGGTGGCGACTGCTTCGCTTTGGCCTTTGGAGTTCCTGCAGCTCTGATGGTAGTGGCTTTGGGTGGGTCTTTGTTCTTCCATTTTAATACGCCATCACATGATAGAGGTTGAGCATGTAAAAGAGTGGGCTTCCTGTTGACCAGGGCCAGTTGTCTGTGCCTGTGAATCCCTGTCCGTGCTGGTCTTTGTGTGATTCATGCTTGGCTGACCGCTCGCTTTGAAGACAAACAGTGCCTTCAGAGCCAGAGCGAGGTCGTTGGCAGGTTGCACAGTAGAGGCTCTGGTGTTAAAAGCCCAGAGCGTGTTTAACAATCCATTAAGAATTTATTAGTCAGAACATATCCTACCGTACGTACATCTCTGCTGGAGAAGAAAAAAAAATTCCTTTCGAAAAAAGTGATGGTAAAAACCAGTGAAGGAAACATTTGAAGTTATAAATACATTTTCTGCAGCCTGGCATGAGCTTAAAGGAGCAATTATTTTTCCCGACACCAACTTTTGTCCATCACGTCTGTGGTTTTTCCCGACACCAACTTTTGTCCATCCCGTCTTCCACTTTCACCGTTCATTTATCTTGGCAGTGGTTTTCATTGCTGGCAGTGGCCTGTACAAGAAGGGTCCTCCTCAGGGAAACATCCTGCTGGAGGTCTGCAACTGCATCGGGGTGAGGCGTCTCTCCTGGAGATTTCCCTGGTTGTACCAGATGATTTATTAAAGTGCACACTGTCAAGGCCAATTGTGCTTTAATAAAAGTGTGAATCCTAAACATCGATTTTGCTCGGGTCTTCGTCTAAGCTGCCCACATTTCTGTTTTAATTTCCACAGTTTGCCATCAAAAAACGCTGGAATAGCTCCAAGTCTGACACCAAGAGGAAACACTGGCTGGACTGGGCCGAGGAGAAGTACTCGGTAACCAATCACTCTGTCTTTTGCACCCATGAAATGGAAGATAGAAAATGAGAAATTGTGGTTTAAGTGCATCAATAATCCATCCAGAAACGTCTGATCCAAGAGATCAAGATGGTCCTGAGGGTCCTAGTCCTCTACATCCCACTGCCCATGTTCTGGGCTTTGTTCGATCAGCAGGTAGGTGGAGACCAATCACATCAGACTCATTCATGGTTGTGTTTTTAAACAACCATGTTAGTTGTCAAACAATTTAACAATTTCAAATCTGATTAATCGCAGGGTTGCTTTGCGTTCACACCCCAGCTGTCACTTCATAACGTTTCTTCTCTGCTGCAGGGTTCCCGCTGGACGCTACAAGCCACCAGGATGAACATGGCTTTTGTAAGATGTCACACAGTTGTTATAGATAACACAGATAACACTGAATGCTGTTGTTCTTTGCTGTCAGGGTGTGTTTCCTGACTTGATGTGAATTTACAAGTTTTGCAGTAAAAATCAGTCACAGTTCCGTCCTTTTGATACAGTAAATTACAGTGTTTACAGCTCGTTCTGAGAAGTCATTACATTGTGAATGGGTTTAATCATTTCTTGTGAAGTTATGAAGGTAAAGTTTATGTGACTGTTGTAAAACAAAAGAAGCAAAACGCAAAAGATCCTGATGTTTTTTTTTTCTTTCTGGCAGGGGGGAGCCTTCGTTGTCAAACCAGACCAGATGCAGGTACAGTATGTGCTGTTCACTTTGGTTCTAAACAATCACAACAAACTTTGTCTGGAAGTTACTCTGCTTAAAGCATCAGAGACTTTAATACTGACACATGCATGCAAGTTTTACAGTTTATTACCACAGCCTCACCATCACTTTATAGGTTTCATAAAATCACAGTTCGAATCTTTTCTCTTAGCGCCATCTCATTGTTTCTGGGTTTTACAAGTTGTTGTGAGGTTTTTACAACTAAACAGATCATTTTTGTGTCTTTCTTCTCCGGTTGTGAAGATGTTGAACGCTCTGTTGATTCTTATTTTCGTGCCCATCTTTGACCTCATCATATATCCGCTCGTCGGCCTCTGCAAAATCAACCTCACGTGAGTTGTTACGAGCTGTTTTGAATCATCTCCTCTTTATTGCGGCGATTAAAAAGACTCTTAAACCTGGATAATGATCAACATGACCTTTCATTTGTGTCTCAGGAATACGGCTCGGCAGGGATAATAGATAACAGATTAACTAAATGTCCATGCACACCAATAAAAATGTGGTTTACAAAAATTCATATCTAACAAATGGGTGTTGTTCAGTGAATATGGATATGGCACCATGTTTTATTGTTGGACGGCTGCTACAGTTGCAGCAGACGACCCACACACATTTGTTCTTTAATTAAAGCACGATAAAAAAGGGATGACCAACACCCATCCATAAAAACATGAACTTTTATAGTCATTACCATAAGTTAGTTTGTTTACTCTACTGTAGATGCTGTAGCTCAACTGCTGAGGTGCTCTAACAGGGAATGTTATTTAACTAAGAGATAATCTCTTGTTAATGTATGGTACGTCAGGGGTTTTATTTTGAAAGGATATACTGTTTCTTGACCCTTAGTAAGTCCTCTGAAGGGCTTTTGCGCCCCCTAAGGGAGATACAGCTCTTACGTTTAATGACCCTGAACTGACAATTAGTTTTCAAGGTGGAAATTGTTGACTTAGGCTTCTTCAAACGCTAGGATTGTTTTCTAGGATTACAGAAGAGAAATGCTTTAGCTTAGCCTAAGCTTTAACCCAAAGGAGCATTAAAGTAGCATAACAAATTGCACACAGTGAGCAATATCAAAGTTTAACATGTACCAAAGATAATTAGATTATTTACTACACAACTTTATCTAGACTGTGAGGGGAAAGGAAGCTAACAGATAATGTTTACAGATTAAGCTAGTTCATTAGACTGTAGGAAAAACATTTACATTTACGTCAGTGAAGCTGACAGGTTTGTCAAGACTCCTGTTTTTTGTCAAATGCAAACCAGACCTAAGTTTGTTTTTCTCTGTTTTTCCACAGGCCTTTAAGGAAAATTGCAGCAGGGATGGTTTTTGCATCACTTGCCTTCATAGCAGCCACACTGGTGGAGATTAACGTGGTGGTACGTGCAGTACAATACAGTAGGAGAGCTGTTGTATTTTCATGTTGTATGCATCAAACTGTAGCCTCTGGTGGATGAAGCTGTTCAAAACCAATATAGGTAACAACATAGTGGATGAAGCTGTTCAAAACCAATATACTGTAGGTAACAACAACGCAAATGTATATTTACAGTACTGGCTGAATTGATGGTGACGTTGTTAGTGTTAAACTTTATCTTTAACTTGTGCTGGAATATCTTCAATGTACACTACCAACATGTTAGCATTTAAACTTTCCATTTAGAATTTTTAGAAAAAACAAATAATGCACCAGAACAGTGCAGCGTGGACAATTAATTTGACAGATTCATTCATCATAGCAGGTCTCAATAATGTCCCGCTGCTAATTTTGTCTTTAATTGTTGTTATAAAACAGGATATTAATATCAACTAACACATTTTTTTTTCTCTTAACATAGAAAACAGTGGTGGAACCTGCTCCTGCAGGGAAATGTCTCCTTCAGACCTTTAACCTGGTCAAAGCTGACGTTACTATGAAGATCCCCGACAGTCCACTGTTTGCAGAGCCAATCAAATATCTGCAGGTATGCAAGACAGCAAAAAAGAAAATGTTACATTTATGGAAGGGATACAGTCCAGGCTCCAAACCAAGTCCTGACTATTGTGAATATATTACACATAAATATAAATGCTGGAAATTCTCCAGTGTTGCTGCAACCAGCCTCTCAGGAATGTCCACTCACACGTGTACAACACAGCTCCTCAATGTGAATATTTGTTGGTTATTTCATTTTACTCATTTAATATTTCAATTTTGCTGATCCATGTCAAATCAATGTATTCAACTATCAAATGAATTATCCGTACACAGCAGGCTGAATTAAGAGGAAAATTGAGCTGTCAATCAACTGACTGACTTCCAGCATCCTAGGATTATAACATGGAGACATTTCAAAACTAAAAACAATAACAGGTGCCTCATGGAATAACAGGTACACATTAATTACACCCACAACTAGAGCAGTCAAAATAAAATCATCATTTTGTTCTATAAAACAAGGGTCTTGTCCAAAGCCTGAGGATATTCAGGTTGTTCATTCTACAATTAGTGTCAATAAGGCTTCAAAATGTCTATGGATTTATCTACAACTTTAATCTTGTTTTATGCCTTTCACTTCTTCCACATTTTTACGTCAAGGATCCTGCCCAGTATGAAACTCTTGACCTGGGAATGTCCAACAAAACTCTGACGATTGAAATCATTGACAATGGAACCTCCTCAGTCTGTTCTCAAACATTTGTGGAACAGAAGGCCTACAGTCTCATCCTCTACCCTGCAGCCTCGAAGATAGAGTGCAAACTTGTGAGTCAGTTGCTGAAACTGTATTTCCAGAAAAACGTACAGTAGTAAACTCTTACTTTGAAAGGGCACCACTGTTTCTGGGCCCTCAGTTCCATCCTAGCAAACGTGCTAACAACGTCTTCCACAGTGTGGCCTTAATCCATTTAACACAGACAAATTTGAACATGTAACACAGTTCTAAAGGTGGTTTTAATGATTTAATTTAGGAACTAATTGTCTTTTTTCCTCTTTCAAACACAATTCATTTTCAAATACATCTACTGACACGACTTGTTCATTAACCAGCTGGAAGACTCAATTACAAAACACCAAGAAGGAAATGCTCACCTGAGGTAAATTAGTGATTAATGATGGGAAATGTTGTTTTCACACGTTGTAATAAAATGGAAACCTTTAACGTTACAGAGTCACTAGTCTTTAAATCCCCGTTAACAGGTTCCTGAACACACATACTGAAAACATCGGTGTGACAGTGGGAAACGTGGAATTCCATGCACCCTCTGGTTACGGCGTGTCATCAAACAACACTGTGGATCGAGGAGAGTGAGTACTGACCAATGGGCCTGACCACTGCTGCTGCAGTTTGACTTTCTGTTCATCACTGTTAATTACTGTAACATAAACATGTGTAAGAGATTATTATTACTGTTCATCACTGTTAATTACTGTAACAGAAACATGTGTAAGAGATTTTTTTTTATTTTTTTTTATTTTCCAGTGATAAGGTTAACTGAAGTGACATATTTGTTGAGGTGATGTTTCAGTGTGAGTGGAAGATGGTTTGTCAGAAGTCAGTCTCTGTGAGTGAAAGCCAAGGGTAAAGACTAGGTCTTTGAAACAACTGCAGTGTTTAATCTGATTAATCAAAGGTTAATGAATTTATCATGAATAATCCAGATACATCAACAATGAGAATTTTTCTGTATATTGCTGGAACAGAGAGACAAATAGTTTGAGACCTGATCTTATTTTAATACTATATTTTATTATATTACAATATGATATAAAAATATAATACAGTGTAGTATAAAGAACAACATTATATAGTGCAGCTTATATGATGTATTTTAAAACTTCCATTCAACCTGATGATACATACACAGTGTGGCTCTGTTTAACTGTTTACTATTTTCTAATTGACATCTTTCATTTCCTGTCACTGGGCAGATACTCGTCTGTCCAGTGCATCCCTCAGTCAGAGAAGTGTTCCACTCTTGACCTCGGCCTTCTGGACTTTGGAGCTTCTTACACTTTCATACTGATTGAGGTAAGAATTCATCCAAACACCTTTTAACGTAGAGGTTCTGACTGCAGTTACTCATGACGTCTCGTCTTTATCCATTGGCAGGAATCAGGTAAAATCGTGGCCAAGAAGATGGAGGATGTAAAAGCCAATAACGTGCACATTGCCTGGCAGATCCCTCAGTATGTGCTGATTACTGTTGGAGAAGTCATGTTCTCCATCACAGGCCTGGAGTTCTCCTACTCACAGGTTTGTCAGTGCACTGAAAAATGTGTTGTCCATTTTTATTGTTTTAGTTTATTCAGTTCGGTGGGCTGGATTCAGCCTGTGGGCCACCAGTTGATCATCACTGTTGTAGGTCATTAGTGTTAGGCAACAGCAGCAATCCAGACCTGCACTGTTCTATATTAAATAAATATTGCATTTAGTAAACAAACGTCTCTGCTCTCCTTGCTTACAGGCTCCAACCAACATGAAGTCAGTCCTGCAGGCTGGCTGGCTGCTCACCGTCGCCTTCGGAAACGTTATAGTGTTGATTGTTGCGGAGGGAGCGGGGCTGGAACAGGTGTGACTCCTTCTTGTACAAACACTTTCTTTACAGTGTGACTTTTTGTAACAAACCTGTTGCTCGACATGATTATCGTGTCAGAAAATAGCAGGGCTTCAGGGCAAAGTAAGAGCTTTAAGAAGAACTAATCAAAGTTATTGTATAAAAAATAATTTCATTAACTAAGTATAAACAAAATAGATATTGAAAATGCTTATTTAAGCATTAACATTAATATATGTTTTTTTGGGTTTTTTTTAATTGCAGTGGATAGAGTTCCTGCTCTTTGCTGCCCTCCTGCTGGGCGTCTGCGTCATCTTCTCCATCATGGCCCACTTCTACACCTACGTGGACCCTGAGCAGCTGGAGAAGGCTTACCTGAATGATTCGAACAAGGATGAAGGTGACGAAGAGTTCGACATGAAGAAGCAGAACAAAACCATAAGTAGCACCAAGTTCTAATTCCGATCTGACGCACGGGTAAAGTATTGCATAAAATATTTTTGTATTGTAATGAAGCATGAAGCTGTAAAGGTTTAAGTTGGATAATTGTGTGTTAGATTCGTACCTCTCTCTCCATCCCCTACAGGGGGTGCTATAAACACAGTTTGAATGCACTAGGAGCTAAGCAGGGCAGATTGTTTCAGAAATCTTTTTACAGTGTGACTACAATTTTTACTACAAGAACTAGCACTGCATTTGACACTGAAGATGCCAGACGTATCCGAATTATGGAGTAATTTCAGCAGAAGAGAAAAGATAACAAATACATATATATAAATGCGTGCATTTTATTGATTTTACTGGGGAAAAACACTCTTCTTAAATGTCATTAAGTACTTGATGTTTCTTTTAATAACTGTATTCAGGATGGCATTGTAATGATACTTGTGCCTTTTAGATTTTGTATATAGACCCGTTTCTTAAATGTAATATTGTGCTAAAAAGTTTTAAAGGTGATCAAAAAGCAGTTTGGTTTTGTGTCTCATCGTTCCTCTATGTTTGAACTACATGCTGCGTTGAATCTGAGAAAACCTGTGATCATCTATGTTCAAGTCGGTAAAATATATAAAAAATGTATAAAACAGACAGGCGGCCTGAGTGCAGAGATGATTTTACTAACGGCCTGTGCAGACAAAGACTCCTTCTCCTGAGATGGGTGAGCAGCGACAGCAGGCCGACAGACTGGTTTCACTCACAGCTCGTTACCCTTCGGCTGTTGTTCAGCAACAACAGTTGACACCAAATAACGAAGAAACATTATTCAGAAAACAAACCTTCAAATCCCATGAATGTCCAATCGCATTATTGAACCTATCAGCATACTAATACGATTGTAGCTACTCATCTTTCTTCCTGTGCAGGAGCCAAACAGGATTAGTCTGTGTAAGTCAACAACACGAGGGAACATTTCAGCCTCCTCTATGATGTCACTCATCACATTATAATTTGCTTTAGTTTTGACCCCCCCCCAGCATCCGGGTCGTATCTCAAGAGGAAATTGATGAACGAGAGGAGAAAGAAAAGTCAGATGAGACGATGCGTTCATCTCCAGCTTCCTCCTGTCCCCAAACTGAGTGAGTCAGCCTGTAGGACAGAGTTCTGCAGGGAAAAAACTGTTCCTGTAAATTTACAATGTTATTTATAATAATACATCTTTTAAACTGTATACATACGTATGCAAGTTTCTCTTGCATACTTATGTATACTTATACTGAAACACTCAAACCTTTGACTCATTCTATTGGTAAAAGAATAAATTGTTTCACAAAGACATATCGCCATTAATGTGTGTGATGTGAGGTGAATACAGATGCTAGGATGCTGCAGTGTCTCTGTGGTCTCCTGTGTGTCTGGTCAGTAGAAGCTCAGTCACACGTGTGATGATGTCAGGATGAAGCAGGCAGTCCAGCAGGTCATTAGTGGTTATTACTAAACCTCTGGGCTCCTCTGTGTCCTCTGAGGACTCCTCTGACATCCTCTCTGGTAGACAGCAGGCTCCACACCGACCTAAACCACACCAACACTCATGTTGTCCGCACTGCAGTCTACTCACAGTGGATGAAGACTCACTTCTCTGTGTTGTGCGTTGCCCCGGAGACCTGCCCTCTGCACCTTCTGGGCTCATCTGCCTGGTGGCTGTTGCACTTTCTTGCTGACTGCACACAGATATGAGATGTGGTCCAAAGGGAAGGCTGAAGGCTGCACTGTCTCTCACAGAGTCTCTCCTTTTCCTTGTGTCTCCGCTGTAGTCACGTTTAGCAGCCCGGTGGTCTCGGGGGTCCGGTGTCACTTTACTGGGGCAGAGCTGCATCTGTTTCTGTGCACAAGCTCTAATGGCCAGGTTCAAGTACTGCATGTTCTCATTATGGGATGTCACTCCTTCCTGCAGGAACAGAACACACACTGTGTGAGCACTTTAGCTCTTTTACATTTAGTTTTGGATAACTTTTCACTTTTTCTGAGAAAAGTTGAACAATATTTAGGTTAGCTATTTATTTTTTAAGAAATTATGAGCCCATCTGGGCCAGTTTTCCACTTGGCTAACATGCAGATATTTTTCTGCAATTTTTGTTTAAATTAACAATATGTTTATGTTTTAAACAAAATATTTACAGGACAGGAAAAAATGTAAATAATTGTTACCAAAAAAACAAACACAAAACAAAGCTGTAAGTTAGATGGTGTTTGATAAAGGACCAGTACAAGAATTTGGACATGCTAATAGAAATATTTCTGTCTTTGTTCAAATCAAACATTGATTAAAGTGCAGTTGATATATTTAATAATTTACCATTACAAAAACATTTAACCTACTAAACCAGAGACTCTACACCAGACCTGGGCAAACTATGGCCAGTTGGCATTTTAATCCGGCTCGCCAAACCTCTCCATTATACTATTAATTTCTATTATCATTATACTTCTGACTTTCCCCTCGATGCCCGCATTATAGATAGCGTAGAAAAGGCTAAAAGCATTTTAGCATTTTATCCTTTATGCATGACTTTTACATGTCATCTTACTTCACACAAACACTCCATCTAACTGCTCCTGATCCGGCCGCCGTGTCAAATTTTAAAACCCGTTGTGGCCCGTGGGTCAAAGTTTGCCCACGTCTGCTCTACACTTCTTGTTGTTCTGCACCTCCACAGTCAATCATTAGTAGACGAGTTACAGAGCTGAGGGATTAATTAACATGACAGTATTTATTCCCAACCTCTGTGGGATTCAACCAGTCGTCCCTGTTGTCATCACTCTGACAGTTTTTCACAGCACAGACCACGGCCTTGGTCACTGCTTCACTGACTCTCGCCACATCATCCACATCCTGTGAACAGAGGAAGAGAACAGAGGCTGAGTGACAACAGGCTCGACACATCCACGTAATTACACAGTGAGCACAAACATTTTTGTTGTGTTTGTGACCCTACAGAGGAGCTGAGGAGACTTTCACTGCTAAAATAAACCTCTTCCCGGCTGCAGGAGAACTTGTTTTTCTTGCATGCAGTGCACACGCTCATGTTGTTTAAACACACTCATCATAATGACAGGAAATCTTTCACAGCAAGGCCTGTTCATAACTCAAAGAGGAGCAAGACCTTCATCTGAGGTGAAATTTAGTGCAAAATTAAAAAAACAAAATAAAACAAAGTTAAAGCCGTTTTTTTTTTTTAAAGAAACACTGTTTACCATCTCAATCCAGGAGTTGATGCTGACAGTGATGGGATCCACGGATTCCACGTAGTGCCACCAGTGTCTGGGAACATAAAGCACCTGTGGAGATGAGGAACAACTGAGAGGATTACAGAGACTTCATCCACGCCCTTCTTTTCCGGCCCCACTGACTAGAGTAGAGATAATTATAAGAGCATCCGCTAGATGGCAGCATATCGCTTTCCACGTAGACGCAAACGTTTCCGTCATTCATAAAGATACTCTTTTACATGAGTAAGAGAGCATTGATCGACTGAATGGTCTGAAACCTTCATTCATCCCAAACGTGAATTGTTCTGTGCTGTGTCCTCACAAATACATGCAGACATACTGTATAAATATAAATAAATTATAAAATTGTACATTGTAATTGCATTTCAGTAAAGCATCAAAAAATATGTATGTGCAGAAAATTGCATTTCTAGCCAGAGAAATAATTTTATCTCCAAATTCATATCACAGAACTCTTAGTGTTTCTTTGCCAGATGGAGCAAAGTCACTGAGTTCCTAACAGAACAGCTAACAGAGCCTCAGCCGATCCAGTGACCTGCACTTGACCCTATAAATACTCTCCTTCAGCCATGACGCAGTCTTCAAATTAGCTTAACCTTCACTTTGAAATGGAACCTCGTGTGTTCTGAAGGTGGAACAATATAAACAAAGAGGTTAGACTTAAATTTGCCTCCTGTTTCGTGCTTCTGTGGTGGATGTGGGGACAAATAAATCTTGTGGTTGAGTCCATTTTCACATGTTAAGAGCTTAAGGACTAATAAAGTCATTCTTTATGGTTATTGCTTCTGTGCCTTAAGCAGTATGTAAGTGCAGATTTACGGTTTTGCATAACCTCAAACTGCAGTAAATTGTTCTGGATGGTTTCTCAATACATGAGAAGTAGCAGTTAAAATATGGATTTTTTTTTTGCTGCAGCAGAAAATTTTGACATTTAAGGAGAAATTAATTTCACCCATTGGAATTCAACACATCTAAATGATCTGACCAGGGTTTTTCTGACCTGGCCTGGCTGCAGAGTGACGACGTGCCGTCTGGCCTTTTGAAAGTCTGGGAACCTCTTCAGATCTGGATGGAGAACGTCCACCTGGCTGAAGACACTGGATTCCTCATAAGGGATTCTGGTTGGGTAGATGTTGGAGGTGTCATCTGGAGGGAAGAGGTGCCAACGTTTCCTAGGCAAAAGGAAGTGATTCACAGTGGTGTCAGTGAATAACTTCATACGCTGTAAATATTATGTTGAATGGTTTGCTGTCAGCCAAAACTGCAGCTCTCCAGAACTGTGAATCACACTTTAAATTCACTTTGACAGAACACATTAAAAAGTAAATCATTAAAGCATTTTCTGCAGCGACAGACTTAACAGTCGGTACAGAACACAACTGCCACAAAATGTAAAATTAAAAGTTGGAGTGAAGAATTCAATCACCCCTGTTCCCAAACTAAAATAAAAACAAAATTGTTCTCGTTCAGTAGCCTCACTATTTTCACAAATATGTTGTGGAATCAATGCCCTGTTGTGTTTTGAACCATCAGTAGAGCAGAGGCCTCCACCTGTTTGAGCGGAATGGAAATTAATTCAGGATCAATACAAAACAAGGAGTAATACAAAACTGTTGCTCCTCTGGAAGAAGGACTGACTGAGACAGACTTAAGTACTTATTAAAAACACACAAAAAATACTTAGTAGTACTTTGTATTTCTGTGCACTGCTATGTTATATACTATACTGTTAGAAATTAGTGAGTAATTTGAGCAAACTTCCATTGAAAATATATGCAAATATCACAATCATATCCCACGTGTAGTTGTGCTTTATTATCAGACATTTAGAAATCACTATTCAACCTTTTGGTTTATACAAAATTAAAAAAAAACTTGTTAAACTACTACAAACGATAAGACACCCAGAATACATCAACACGATCATTGTTTAGACATCGCTAACTTAAGCCAATTCAATAACTAACCTAAAATGTCACTCAAAAGACCACTAAAAGACACAAAAAATAAAGTAGAACCTAAGCTAAAAGCTACTCATGCTAAAGAAGGAACAGACTAGCTTAAACATAGCTACAAAAAGAAAACTCTAAGACAGCCTCAAATGGCTAAATCCTTCAGTTTAGTGCTTAGCTGTATATATATAAAAAAACCCTGTTCTCTTTTTCAGTGGCGTTGACAGATCACGCTGTGTCAGCAGCAGTTCGACTGACTGGATCTGTGCTATTTCAGAAGTGTTACATTGGTTAACAAGCAGAAAACCACCACTGATATAATGATCCACTTCTTCTGAACCTTCTCACTGCTCAGGCACAACTCCTCTGTGCATAACACTTTTTATTACATTTCGCCTCAACTCAACTAAAAGTCAATGCATGATCCATGACCTGACAGCACTTCACAACTGAAATCCTAGTTTACATGCAGACAGAAGAAAATCTGTTTTTGATCCACCAAACAAAGCATTGATCATTTTCAGCATATTCTAATTCTCATGGCTGGCCTGGCTGCTTGTCGTACCTCACTTCTCATTGTGCGCTCCTCTTAATTAAAACATTTGTTGTGACTTGGAGGCATATCGACTAATCAGTGAGGCAGGGAAATGACTGATGCTTTTGTTTTAAGTGCGATCGATTGCATCAAAACGGCTGCATATTTAAAGTTGAATCTCACTTTTGTCCAACGTTGACTGCAGCCAGAGGTGTAATTACAACCTGCATTAAAACCTGTCACATTCACAAATATGTGTGGCCGTTTTATGTGTCATGAAGTGACATTTATCATCTATAAATGTGTCACCGGTGTAGCTTTGTGTGAAGGGAGGTAACTACATTTCAGAGCTTTTGGCAGCCATCTTTGTTTATTACCACAGTTGCAAATGAGGGGGAAGTCGGCACATTTCTTTGGGCTTTTAACAAATTACTCAAAGTCTGAACCCTTATGTATATTTTATGACATCATGGTAGAAAATTAGAAACTTTTTGTCATCTGTGAAAAATATTTTATGGAATAATGTTGTTTAATAATATTCTTTGGCCAATGAGCAGAACTAGAGAAACTTTTTCATTGTTCTATTTTAGGCAAACTTTTTAATATTTATTTTACTTATTTAAATTTTTTGTTTGTTGTTTGTTTTGTTTCCTTTTCTCCCACTTTGACAAAATGGAGACTCCAAACTCTCGGTCTTAGTATTTTCATTTTATAACTATGAGAGTATTTATATATTTTAGTAGTAATATAGTATTTATATTTTTACTGCAAGTATTTATAAACAGAACACACAGGATTTACTTTACTGCTATTCCCAGTCTTTCTGCATGTGTTTGAATGTATGCACAAACTAACGACAGAAATATGCAAAGTGAGTGTCAATGTTCATTTGCATCTTTGTGATGGGCTGGTTAACTGTCAAAGGTGAACTGCGCCCTCTCCTGACGACTGCTGGTGTTGACTCCACCTGCCCCCCTCAACCCAAAAAAAGGATTAAACGCTATAATATAAATGAATACATGTCTGTGATCACAGAAATTGAACAGTGTATTTAAACCTTTTTTATGTACACGAGCGCCACATGCTGTAAATGTAGGCCTACATTAGCTGTGATATATTACCAGCTGATGAGTCTGTTCCAAGAGACAGTATTGTTTCCAAATTAGGACTGAGACTGATTTAGGTGGTGCCTCAGTAGCACATTCTCGTTTAACTAATACTGTCTATTTTATTAGGTAAAAGGTGGTTAACACATGCAGTGACTACTGCTCACCTTCCTTGAACCTGCAGCACCAGGTTGCAGCCATAAGAGTCTTGGTGACAGGGTGTGTTGGCTCCTTCTGTACCGATCCAGACGGTGCTATTTCTTCCATCACGTCCCTCGAAACCAAAGTCCGACCATTTCACATCCTGCAAAACAGGTGTAGATTTGTCTGCATTGTGAACTATAACACATTCCACCCTCATTTCATCTGCCGCTGTGGCAGGCCCCAATAGAGATAACCAATGGACGCCCTGGGTTAGAAAACAAACTCTAACAATATATAATATTTTTCACCTTTTGAGGGAAAAATGGCCTGTCAGTCTTGTCAGATTGTGCGTCGGACCACAAAGGTGAGGCAATCCCACTAGCCTTCGGCATAATGAAGTCATTACCATGTATGCAGACAGCTGTAAATGACAGTCTGGTCAATCAGGGCTGCAGGGCAGCGTCTTTTCTTCCCAGAAACCATTTATCCTGTAAGAAGCCCAATGTCTGCTTGTCTCAAAAGCATGAATGTCAGCAGGTAATAATTGGATGTGGGTGTGGGATGCAAAATTTATTAGAGTGATAAAAATGAATTGGATGTGTGTGAGTGGCTGGAGGAAAGGATGACACTTTTATGTCTTTACCTACTCTGCAGGACAAGAATAGCAGCTAAAATTAAGTCATTACAGCGGGGGAGGAGGCAGAACTTAACGTCTTAATTGAAAATGTCAAAAGATTGAAGAATTTATATATTAAATAAATAATTGATGAGAAAAATGTGCTACTATTTTTGTACTCATGTCATCAAGCTGTTGCAAATCCAGTTAAGGTGGTAATTATATATTTATTGCAACATTTTATGTGTGTTTATTGCTGACTCACACACACACACATTTTGTGTCATAAACTTTAATTATAGATATTTTGAGTAACTTATTCAAAAGATAAAGGATGCATTTAGCTGACGTTTTTATCCAAAGGGATTTGCATGAGGAGGATTCATTTTATGGTTTCACTAGGACTTGAACGCAGAACCATTGGTAGAGAGCGTGGTTACCTTGAACATAGAAGGCTGATCTTGACACAGCACAGCTATGTACTTGTAGTCAGCATAGGCCCAGTACTCAGAGTAGGAGAATTCAGAGAGAGGTCCAACTTTGGCTCCAGTCTGACCACTAGTCCAGCTGAGAAACTGCATCAGCGTGGCTTCAACATAAGGACACTGGGTTTCAAATAGAGGTGCTAAGAGAAAGAAAGAAAGTTAATTAAAACCTTTCAACTGATTCTCATAAGACCAGATGTACACCATAGAGGGGATATAACACCACAATCCGTCAACCTTTTATAACAGTTCTAGGAGAAAAATTAATCACTGGTAGAGTAATTAACAAAATATGTTCATATTTGACTGATGGTGTTGACGGTGAGCAATGCCCCGGTGTCTGGAGCCTGTCGGCCGCACCTGAGCATAAGATTTAGAAATGTAATTAGCCAGCTTCTATCAGAGGACAAAGTCTCTGTTATTCATCACAGGAGGAGTCATTATTGTAGCTGCTCCAGAGCCACATGGAGGTTTAAGACATGCCAGCTGCTGGAGGCAAGAACATTGGCTGTCTTAAAAAAATAAAACGTGACAGCCTTCAGATGCACCATCAGGCTACGCTAACAACAATATAATCTGTAAATTATCACTTGTTTGACAAAAAAACTATACACACGACTGCAGGCAATTATGAGATCTGTGAAAATTGTGTGAAGGTTGGTAACTGCTGTATGAGTTTTTAACAGAACCAACGACACAGAAAATATGTTCATATTTTCACTGATGCGACGGTGCAGAAAATCAACAGTCTGTTTGGCCACAGAAGCCGGAAAACACTTAATGGTAGGATAATAACAAGAAATAAATCACTAATTTAGTTTTTATTTTCTTAAAACTCAAATGGCTAATTGGTATTAAACTGAAGTCATGACAGAAAATTCACACTTACATATTAGTACTTTTTATCAAATGGAATTTTTAATAATTATTGCATCAGTGAAAACAACACAGATAGTGATTTTGTTTTCTTCATTGACTATAATGTAAGAACATCATAATCAGGTAAATTTGAATATATCTCATTCCTATACAGCCAAAATATATCACCAAATTAGTTTTTACCATGTAATTACATGACTGTACAGGAACTTTATTTGACTCAGATCTGTCAAGATCGACCTTTCGTTCTTACTGTTCATGTTCTCCCTTGTCCCCAGTCTGAATCGTACAAGTTTGTCACCGAGGCAGACAGACAACTGCTGCGCAGTCCAGTGGAGAGCAGGCCAGTCACACGTCATGTTCACAAAGACTGCCGGCTGCTGCAAATGAGTCAGAATCCTCTGAGTCTCTTCTTTGCTGAAGGGTTTAATTGCAGTGTGGGCGTCCATGGTCTGATGCTCATATGGGTGCTGAGCTGAAACATGGTGGATGCTGTTAATGTAGCTAATAAACAAACAGCAGATTAGAGTTGTGATTTTACTCTATAATTATTGTTTGCACAGGGAGGTAAGGACTGATTTCAATCAGTGTCAATTTGTACAAAAACAATAAAAACATAGGAAAGAACCCTGAAGGAAATGTGAATAAATGACATGGAATCACAATTATGTTTTATTTTGGGATGTAGATTCAGATCCAGAATTAGATTTTTTTAAGACACTGTATTATTTAGACTTATCTAGGCCTCCTAAAAATCTCTGGCCAAGAGACAGTAATGCTCTGGTGATGAAATCCATATCTCGATCTGTACTAGCATTCTGCAGACTGAGTTGGATATTTGTGATGAGGTGGAAATCTCTGAGCGCTTTTCCTTGTTCCTTCTGTGCTCATAATTCACATGTGAAAAAATACATTCTGTCACCTCAGTGGTGTGATGTAATTTTACACTTGACCCCCTTGGGTTGCCAGACTAAAAGCATACATATATAATATCTGACAAAAGCCATCTTATTACATTATCCATGTGCATCTATCTCATAAGAATGATGGTATTTTTCCAAATGTAATTTATCTAATGGGGTGATGCAATGTTGGCAGATAGCAGAGCACAGAAAAGAATTGATCAAATTTATGGCACTAAAAGAAGTACTGCTTGTATTAAAGCACATTATATAAAAGGTGTCAGATGATTGTTTGAGGGATATGACATATATATATATATATATATATATATATATATATATATATATAGGAAAAGGCTGCATAGAAAATGTCAAAAAGGACTTATGATGCACAAACTACCACCATGTCTATTGCCATTTAATTGGTAGTTTTGCCTAGTTTGGCTCAAACCTCACATAATGATAATTTTAGCACACTATTTGACCATTCTATTAGGCTATGTGGAAGTAGATTTTATTTCGACTAGTTTATATTTCGATTTGGGTAATGAGAAAATCAAAAGCATCCAAAATTATACGTGATATTTGTTTCTGTTGGAAAAGTAAAAACAGAAGGATTCGAAGCATATGTAATGTACGTGTACTTTAAAGCATGATTATTGACTTCTACTCGAGACTTAAATCCTTACATCTTTGAGGTTGGTCAACAGAGGCTAAAGAATGTCTGTGACAGGATCATCATCACCGTCTCGGTTTATCACACATTCTACATTTGATCAGCTAACTCATTTCCGCACATAATGATACTGTTTGTATTTAGCCCGGTCTTAAGAAACACCGATCAATGACAGGGTTCCTGTAACTGTGCCAGCCTCCGAAAGGCCCCGAAAATACACAGAGCGCACTCACCTTTTACTACACGTGTATGAAGATTCTGGCGGAAGTAAACAAATGTCACCTGACACTGTTGGCCTTCGGTTACAACGTTGTGAAACTACGCCATTTTGGTTATGTGATAGCTTCCCCGGCCCGATTGAAGGTGTTATTAGCCAGAGCCAAAATGGCGTTTACAGTATCCAGTTCCTACTTCCTTAAACAGCCGCCATTGACGCATGCGTATTGACGTTGAGCAAAACAGACCTCAGCTGTTTTTGTTTTGTGAGCAGATTGAAGAGGAACGTCATTCCATGCCGTTACGATACGGAATTACTGTCTAAGCTAACGACCCGTTTCGACACAATGCCGGGGGTCGGTACCATCACCGACGCGGAAAGGGAGCCTCTTATCCGGCGACAGAACGCGGAGTCGAACATTCAGCCCGTTATTAGTAGAGTCTATCGGAGAAGATGGCTGGTTCTGACCCTGTTCTCTCTACTGGGCTTTGTCCAAGGGATGATCTGGAACTTCTGGGGTCCCATTCAGAACTCAGCCGTTCACGCTTACGGTTTCACCAAGTCTGACATCGCAGTTCTGGTTCTGTGGGGTCCCGTGGGCTTCGTCCCCTGGCTGTTGTTTATGTGGTTAGTGGATAAGAAAGGTGAGTTGTTGTTATCTGGTACACTGTGTCCTATCTCTGTACTGTAGGGAGGGAGTCCTCACTGTCACCCTAACATAGTACTAAACTGAGAAACTACTGCAAATACACAAAAGATATCATGATTGTAGACTTGTTATATACTGGCTTTGTTTTTACCCGTCTGAGGCCGCCTGTTTACGATAGCTGACAGACTTTAGATAACTGAAATATTAGTGAAAATCAATTTTTTTTAACAGTACCTATATCGGAAATTCCAACATTCCAGAAATTTGCCATAAATATGTAACTGTTGTTATGTTTTTGGTGTTTTTGGTGGTGTATATAATAGTGTAATACATACACAAATAATTCAGGGGAAATATTATGAGTGTAAATGTACCCAATAGTCATGTTTGTCACATAAAAAAATTAAAGGACAATTACAACTGAGAAGCTGGGAAAAAAAATCAAATTATTTAATGAAATACTTAATTTACCATTAATAAATAATAAGCCACCATTAGTTGCATCTAATTAATATTATCAGTTGACTAGGCGTTTCTTCATCATGTAGTACTCGGCTACTTGATAAAATTGATCTTAACCTTAAATTCCTACAATTTTACATTAGTTAAAATATGAAAAATAGTCCCAAGATAACAACTAACAAGTCATTTAGTTTCAAGATGGCTAAACTATGTCAAAAGAGTGATAAGATAGCTGGCAAAAAGGGGCAAAGTTAAGCAAAAATGTTTTTGTATTCAGTTGGATGGATGTATATTTATATACATGTATATATATGTAGAGAAAATAATTATTAGGCCACAAAACCCCTGTCAGAGTTTGGACATATCTGCTCTACACACACACACACACACACTTCATTTTGTTGAATGTTTGACCATAGTTGTTGTTCCAGGCAAAGGATTTGAAGAATGTCAAGGATTAAAAACTGCTGAAGCAACTGTTGACTTTTGTCAAAATGCAAAGTGCCTTTAAAACCATTAAAGCGTTGTCAGAGAGCCCTTTAAATTATCCATTGATCTTTGACCTACATAGTCAGACACAATTCACTTAACCTGTTCCTCTACATCACCTGACACGCAGTTCTTGTGTGGTCTGAACTGTCAGGTGACATAAACACAGTTATAACATAATAACAGAATCACAGTTACCATACTGCTGACGATGTAGAAGCCACAAGTAGAACCTTGTTGAAGAATTACGTAATTTATCTTGTGATCATGATTCATTTGTTATTACAAGTTGTTTGACTTCTCTAGGATGTTCCCTTCGTACAGTGCCTGCTGCTCATGATCAGATTGATAGCAGCTAGATAAAATGTTGACATTTTCTTCGGTTATTGTTCAGCTTTTTACACTCAGCTTGCATTTATAAAACACTGCCCCAGGGTTTATTAAATTAGGGCAAAAGGCTCATTCAGCACTCTGTAATTGCAGACGATGTGAATATGTTTAAAATCGCCTGCATAACATCCAGAGGCTACAACAGGTCTGAGATGTTGTCAATGTTGGTGTCACACATACTGTGCTTCTGCTTCTGCTTCAATAGGGACAAATCCTGTCTCCCCTCAGGGAGTCGTACTCAAGGGCATTATTAGTGATCAACGACAGCTCTAGCTGGTTGCAGCTACACAGCTGTAGCACCCAGTCAGATGTGACCCACTAAAAGGCTGTGCACCGCTGATGTTCAAATGAGCCCATACCGCAGCACCGCTGATGTTCAAATGAGCCCATATGATCATGTCAAGCTGACATACTGCGGGTATGTCAGCTTGACATGATCCAGTTCTTTAACAGTGAGAATCCAAATGTTGGGTGCCCTTACTGCAGGTGCTGGCTGTTAAAATGTTTCTAGGTTTATGACTTACTTTCTTTATTGTAAGGGAAATACTGTCTGAGTATGCAATGAAATCAGCTCTTGTTTTGTGGGCAATGGTTTTGGAAAAATGGACTTGCATAGCACCCAAATGTCAGCCTTAAAAAATGTTGTTTGTTTGTTATTTTTAATTTTCTGCACAAGTTGTCAAAAATTGTCACGCAATGTTTGACCCCGTCCGAGAGGATTTATAAACTTCTATCATTATAGTTTTACGACCCATTGGATTAAAAATATGACAAAGTATTCACTGGTGTGTTGGTTGGCATGGTGTAAATCTTTGATTTGGTTTCACATCACGTAAACATCTCATCAAGAGGGTTTTTCTGACAATGACACATCCTAACAAGTACAGACAGCTCCATGTAAGGAATGTGTGGAAACACTGCAGTATTGCATTGTCCTTCTTATTCACAGTCAACATCGGTGTAGCAACAATTTCCACAAATAATAACCATGTGGACATATTCTCAACTCTATAATGTTAAAATATTACATAGAAAATTATCTTCTGTTACTGCAGCCCAGATATTTATTCTCAGAATTGTCCAGTCAAATGACAAAATCAATATGTTGTATAATCGTTGATTAAATGTAGCGTGGACGTGTTTGCTATTGACAATTTCAGCATTGACGGTTGCTTTGAACCTGACCGTGTGAAACCTAATCTTGAAATGAATATGAAATAATGGAATGAATACTTTGCCTGTGTTTCAATGTCTTACAGTTTAAACGTGTAGTGTAAGGTGAAACTAAGGTGTTAGTGACGTCTGTCAAAAGCTGCCTGTAATAGTAGTAGTAGCAGTAGTAGTTGTAGTAGTAATTATAGTCGTGTGTCAGTAATGCAGCAGAAAACTGTAACACTGCCGCCAGGTTATTTCATATAGAGCGTATGTTTTTACCAGGGTTTCATGAAGGAACTCACAAATTCATATTCCACATTATTTTTGTGGATGCTCAACTGTGTTGTGGCCTGGCTGCCCAGGCGTCTGCAAATGACCATTAAAGTGAACTGAAGAGAACATGGAAGTGGCGAGAGTTTCCCTAAATTGAGATCATGTGTGTGAAACTGAAACCTTTTGGTTTTGGGCTGACAGAAGAAGTTTTTTTCACCACAGTACTGTAAAAAAACAAGGAAGTATGGAGATCCCAGAGACAGAGGTGTGTGAGGTGAACATATATACAGTCAGATTACTGTTTGTCTGAGCATCTGCAGATAACACTCAACTGTGATGGAAAAGCAAACTTTCAGTACCTGTTTTAACCATTGCTCTCTTTTACTTGCATTGCTGTTTTGTCTGTCTTTATGTACACTATGATAAAACATCACTGTTCCTCCCACACAGGTTTGAGAGCATCACTGCTTCTCTCTGCCTTCCTCATGTTGCTGGGAGCAGGTCTGAGGAGCATCCCGCTGACAGATCCACAGTTCAGAAGATGGTAAGACTGCATCTTTAATTAGGCAATAGCTGAAGGGGAAAAGATGGCTGCTGGAGGTCGAGAGGTTGAGATAGATGCAGTATTTAAGAGAAATAAGAACCCGTGTATGAGTTCAATGGATGTTTTAAAATACCATTCTACCATTTTTTTATAAATATAAATACACACCTGAGCCCTTCAACAATGACCAAGTATAAGCCCCATTTTTGTGTTTTTGCAGTAAGCTGCGTCTTTATTTCCTTGAAATACAGTAATCTGAACACATTTGAAACCATTGCTACAAATGATGAATTAGTGTTATCTTTCTCCAACAGATGCCACTGCCACAAGCTTAAGGTTATTGGTCCATGTCCTGGCTCAGATAAATTGGCTGTGATTGAAAACAAATTCAGGCTGTCATTGAACAAACACAGACCGAACATTTAAAAGAGACGTTGTAGATGAAGGTAACACATTTTAACGCCTAATTTTATTAGTTTAATTATATTAGTATGTAAGTTAGTTGGCAATCTTATTTCATATTTATAGGTTTAGCTTATCTAAACATCCAGACTCTTACTGCTTCATTGTCATAATAAGTCAAAGTAAAAAAACGTACCCTTATTAATGGTTGTTAAACCATCAGTGCTGAAGACTAGGACGACCTTCAGCACGATCATTATTATTGTGTTTAGCTGATGAAAATGCTTTGTTGGTCTTTTAATGCAGGAGTGACTGCAGTAGAACCCTGATTCACAACCACTGTGTCACGTTCCGTTCGTGCGCTGTGATAAATCATCAGGTGCACAGTGGAAATCATTCAATTTCACCTTATTGCCCTGAAAACTATTATTTTATTATTGCAAATAAATGGCCTCAATTTGTCTATGCCACAGTGACAGACAAAACAGTTTCTTTAGTTCCTGAGTATAAATCTAAAATATGTTCAACTAAACTGTCCAGGTTACACAATAAGCAATTTTGAAATTATTTGATATTTTGTTTGGTGCTTTATTGTGGGATTTTTCTTACACGAAATATGTGCTTTAGCTCAAAAAACACTGCAGTAGCGTGACATTTTGAACTGTCAGAAATGGTTGTAGGCAGGTTTCAGCAGTTGTTTTTGGAGTGAGGTTTAATTATGATAAAGCATTTTAATATAGATGGAACAGCAGGCTACTGGATATTAAAAAACAATAAACCTCTCTAGCTTTTAAGTGTGGTAACACATTCCAATATATCACAGAAATTATGTGTTTAATAATAACATTTTCCATATGAATTATTTGTTCTCAGAATGTCTGATACTGTTTGTAATTTCGTGTTTAGGCTTTATTTCACGTTCTGTTTTTGCCTTTCTTTGCTGATAATGATTGCTTTTAGTTAAGTGTGTTTGGCCGTCAAACTGTGTTCATTTAAACTTAAATCAAGGTTTGTTTGTTTGGCTTTAAAGTATAGACCTGTCACTGAATACAGGAACACTGCGTGATTCTGAAAGAAAGGCCAACACTAAGTAGATCCATTACTTCATTGCCAATTTTTACCATTATCAGGCTGTACTTTGACCATTTATCAGTGGAAAACATAAAGGAAATTAATTTATCCCCACATCCTTGTACTCACTTTTACTCACCAGCAAGATTCTCTCCTTTGTCAAGTGTAGAAGCTCAGAGAAGGTCGTTCCAATAAATGATGCCTTTTAAGTGATTTTAATGAACGTGTCGTAATGTCTCAAGCGATTCCAAATGGGATTTATCAATACACGGAGGAAATTGTATTTCCATAGAGTGAGTCATAGATCTCGCTCCATGCATTGGAGGATTTCTGAAATATATTTTGGCTTACAGAGAGCTGAGAAATCAATTTGAGTTTCACAATATTCTCACTCTGCCTCATGGGGCTGCAACAAAAAAGTCATCAGTGGACTGAGAAGCTTACGATAAGAGTACAGAGACGATTTAAACTGTGTAAAATTCCAGTAAAATATTTTACGTTACATTTTTTATTGGCAGAGAATAATGTTTTTGGAATAGGATAGAAGGATACATTTTTAATCCTATCAGGAAAGGGATTTCCTCTACGAACGTAGGTATGTTTGATCACAATAGATTGAATACTAGACTGTTGGATAGGAACTGTGAGGTGTACATTACCGAGAGCATTTAACTGAACAGCCAAAGAATACTAAGTCATTAACAGTGTATTAATAAGTACATAGAAAAATATGTAAAATACATGTGTATAATATATCTCAAACTTTACTATGTGTAAACATGTGTTACGCATACTGAATATTTATTTGGAGATGTGAAATTATAGAACATATATAAATATTATCAGAGTGAAGTTTTAGTTAGTGAATACTTGCTAAGAAGAATGAGGAACAAATACAATTCCATACTTTCTTCTACTATACTATTCTTGTGATCAGAGGACAGTTTCCTTTTATTTTTAAATGAAGCATACAGTTTTATCCACCAGTATCAAAGGTTACATTGATGTTTTTGCTGGAAAAAACACTAGCAAATATCAAAAAGAATAAAGCCTCACTGGAGATGACTGCAGCAGTATATACACTACATATTTATTTTGGATTAATTAAATGATTTAAAGACTACTGTCCAGGGATCTGATGGTGAATAATAGTGAAAAGTGAATAATGTGCCTCGTGGCCTCGTTTGAGTGACATTGCTTGGTAATAGCAGTTACTGGAAACGTCAGTTTCTGTGGTTTGTTTTCATTGTGTGATTCATTATGTGTGATAACTTTAGAGTTTGCGCAGAATAAAAAGGCACATAACGATTAAAGCTCTTGTATTAGACAACCTGTTAGCAGCATATATAGCATATGGCTGCAGTATCATAATAACTCGTATGGCTGCTGGTCATGTAAGTGAATTGTGTTAAAGTTATTCCTGTAATGGTTAGGTTCTGGTTCCCTTCTGAACCCATCTCCCACTTCTAATCCAGAGGCACTAAGGCAAGTTTTAACAAAATAAAGTATTTGACGTGTCTTCTGTCCAAACAGTGTGATTTAATATCCAATTAACTTGTTTAAGGGTTAATTAACTAGTTTTAGGGTTCACCCAGTGCTGCTGTGACAGCTGAAGCAGCAGGAGAAGGTCAGGATGGTGTAGGTAGGTAGGTAGTGAGACAGAGAAACACAGAGAGTTATGGGCAAAAATGGAGGAGGAGGTGAACAGGAGAGGCAAAATAGTCGACACGCTGCTGTGGGAAAGACAGAGCATCGGCGTGTGTACAGTATATTGTTCACTTATTCATGTCACACGTTGATCCCAACGCCACTTAAGTCTCATTCTGTGGGAAACACTAGATGTATCTCAGACTTGTATAGATCATATTGTTACATAAATACAAATGTGGCCTAGATTGTCTTGTACAATGGCTTTTCGCAGGGTGCAAAATGTCCTGTGAAGGGAAACGTAACTGTAAAATAGTTTCATGTGGTTGAATTTTATCACTGCCTAACGTTGATGTGTTTCAGGGTGTTTAGGGTCACTTTTATAAACACCATAACACAAGAGTCCAGAGTAGAATACTCACGGAATATTGGGGTGTAGTCGATCTCTCTCTCCCCTGCAGGGGGTGCTAAAACTGTTTGATGTAAAGAAGTAAAACCTCCCTCATTCATCTTTTATTGTTTAATTATTTTGAAGGGTAGTAAGGCGGGGTGAGAGTTGGCGGTTACATCGTTGATAGGTCCATCTAGAGACAAACAGCCATTTACGATAAAACACGTACCTATGGTCAATGTACAGTGAAAAATGTACCTGATCCTCATGTTGTTTCGACATCCTGGAGAAAACCAACAGAAGTAATATTTATGCAATTAAGTCAAAACCTGTTCTGCAAAAACATACATTTATTTTTTAAGACGGGCGTTTTCCCACTGGATGTAATTTAATTTCTCTCTTGTTTTATTCTTGTATTCATTCCATCATATGCTGTTCACAGCCCTCTTTTAACTTGTATGAATAACGTCAGAGGGTTTTACTGGAAAGGGGAAACTGAATGAAATGAAAATAGGGCTACAGAGGATGTTCTTCCTGTTTGAACTTTGAGAACTGCTTCCACTTTTCTCCTTACATATTTCACATACGAGAAATTCAGATTTCAACACCGATATATAGACTAATAACACTAAATTGCTTCCTGGCATGCCAGCTACAACATTCAAAGTGAAAGTGTTGAGTTAATTTTGTTTTAATTATGTATTCATTTTTTAAATATCTCTCTTTCAAGTCTTATAAAACAGTAAAGTAATTAAATATGAGTGAATGCTCATATTTAATTTTATTCATGATTTATTTATACATTCAAAAGTAAAAGCCAGTTAGAGATGCACAGGTCTTATATTTGTACTTGTTGATCCAGTGACCCGCTACTCTGCACGTCATCCCGTTTCCCACAGAGCTGTGACACCTAACTGTATATAATTGAAACCCAACCTAAATAATTATCTGTGTTAGTACTTGGTATTGGCAGAGCATGTTAAGACATATTTTAATACTTGTGGTACTTTTTGTTAATAAAGTGACAATGATGTAAAAATACCAACAGCAATCCCGGTCAAATGTGCATAAAAAAATCAAGAATAAATCTTAAATCTACTGTAAACCATGGCTAAGGTTTATCTCAAATTTAGCCAGAAAATCAAAATGTGATAATTTATAATTTTATCACACAGCACTGTCTCAGACCAAGAGTTGTGAGTATTGTGTGTGTGTGTGGTGTCAAAACCTCTTTATTGATGAGAGCTAACCTGCACATCATGACCTTTTACAGTCTCTCTTTTGAAAGTGCAGAAACCAGATTGCACAATAAAAAGCAGAGATAAGGTGGAGCCGCACAGTGAATGTTAGTTTTGACACAGTTCATTTTAATTAGCATAATAAATGTAAAAGGCCACAGCTCTGGGTGGGCCATGTTTTATTGAATGTCACAATGGATTTATCACTGTAACACACTGACACATAGTGTCGCTCACTGCTTCACCAGTAGATGTCTCCCTTTGCTTTGCAGTAGTGCTGAAACAATAGCACAGACCCGTCAATGCTGCAAAGGGATTTTTTACCCCCTTTGCAAATCCGAGACAAAAAGGAAACCAGACAAAACATACAAGTCCAACCGGCTCTGGAAATGTTGGATTTTCAAAGGAATTGCGCGTTTGATGATAAAATTGAGTTTTTGTTTCCTGCTTACCTGATCAAGAGATAAGTGCTGACAATTCCCCAGGTTCAAAAAACATCCGACTAGGTCCCTTGTCAGCCCCCTGCAGATATGTCTTTGTTCTGTGTTCTATTTGAGGTTTGACGAGAGATTTGTCTTTTTTTCCATTTTTGCACTGTAGGTTTGACGAGAGATTTGTCTTTTTTTTCCATTTTTGCACCCCTGGAGGAAGTCTACCACCCCTGCTTTGTTTCTTAGATAATTTCTAGGAAATCAGAGGTGCACAGCTCCCTTTCCTTTCTCTATCAAGTGTTCCATTTGAAGAGAAGAACTGAAGTGGACATGATTGTTTTGTTAAGTCTGGAAAAGACACTCACAGGCCACTCATCAGTCTTCACCTTGATTAAGGGCTCTCTAATCAACTTTGTTCTGTCTTTCATTTCAAAGCTGTCACTCTTTTTTTTCTTGCCCTCTCAGTCTGTCTCTGTGTTTTATATTTAAATACAGACCAGCTGTGTGATTATTAAGTGTCCCTGAGTGAGAGCGCAGACTCACACTGTTCTGATTGGTCATCAGAACAGACTGTGGGTCCCACAGCGGGCAGTCTTTATTACTTTGACAATTGCTGTAGTACCATTTTCATGACAGAATTGGTTTGTGTGAAGGCAGAATTGGGTCCATTATCCTCAAATGCACTGACTGTTCTTGCTTTGACCAAGAGTGGTCAGATGATTTTCGCCACAGTACCACAGCCTTTATGTCTTTGGTAAACCTGTTTCTGTCAGACTGACTTTATCAATACAGATTAACGTAATCAGTTCTTGTAGAAAAAGAATTTGCCCCTATCTCTCCTTCCCTTTCTCGCCACAGTGCTCAGGTCAGTGGCCACCTTTCCTTATCACTTGTCATATTAAGTGTAATTTTTCGTCACGTCCAGTTTCAGATCTTTTGCACACAGAGACAGCATCATGAAACACATTAAAACACTGTTGCACCAAAGTTGAAAGTTTTGAAAACAGTTAAATACTTAATTCTGTTATGAATAAGTCAGTACAGTTGAACTCTTGTTTTTTTTATAATTTCCAAAATTTCCAAAACACCACTGTTGTTATTTTTTTTCGAGAATTGGTTTTAATAAATAAACTTTGTCTTCACGTTTAAAACTAATATAAAAAGCTCCAAAAATACAACATTCCCAAAGCTGATCATGAAGTTACCATGGTCTCCAACAACGCTTTTGCCTGCCCCTGTTCCCCCCCGCCTCCCCTTATTTTCATTGGTTTCATTAAAGCTGACTGGCTGCTGTTTTTAAATCCATACAGGCATCATGCTGTGTAGTACCAATTGGTTTGGTTTATTTTATTTTAGGTTAGCTGCTTAAAAATGACATCTGCTGCCTATTAACGCATTTTCAAAGTTGGAGAAACAAGTTGAACATAGTGGTCACTGTTAGAATTTGAGGGTTAATAATTAATTGAGAAGCTCTTACCCTGACTGAAGTACTTTCCACATGGTCAGACAGAGAACGTTCCAAAGTGGCAGCTCAACCTTCAACCTTTTTCTCTGTACTTTGTCCAACACTAAAACAACACATTTTTTGCTAGTTTGCTGTTAGCAAGAAAGCCAAACAGGCTAGTTGAAAACGACTTACAAAAACAAGGAGCGTGGAGAGATATTTACACGGTGTTACCTGCTAATTCTTACAACCTCGTAGCTGCACGTGAGGATATCTTACAAACACAGCCAATTACCAGCTGATGGCTTTTTACTTTTATACACATTGGCTTACGATGCCTCGTCCTGTTTCAAGTCATTTTCTCCACTCTTGCCATTTCATCAAACTTTAAACCCAGGCGAATAGAGGGCAACCATGTTGTCATGGGTTGTGTTGTAGCTACAAACCAAGGAAATGTACTATTAATGGAGAGACAGTGAGTTATTAGAGTGTAGTGATAATTACTTTGAGACTCTCCACTGATCGTTCCCTCGATTCCATCTGTCCTGAACACCTGACTTCTTGGATGAAGTCCTTTTGGCCAAAAGCTCATAATTATCACATAAACTGTGTGTAAACTAGGCAGAGCAGTGGAGATGAGAGCCACTTGGCTGAAGGAACAAACACCTGAAACATTTAGTAGATGCCTAAAATGATCTGTTTTCCTGAAAAAGAAATAATTGATCCTCTGAGAAGGAATATATTTGACATCGTGTAGCAATAAAAATTAAATAAAAATAAATAAAAGACTTCCTGGCACAGGGATGAACACTCGACAGCTGAGTTAACTTGTTGTAGAAATAACAAATAATGAACCACAGGGCATTTAAAGAGATTGTCACCTCTGTAAACATGGCAGGTGTACTGTAAAAACTGAACTGTAAGATTAGGAGAGAAGACAGTGGCATTCAGTATTTCGTATCTTTTGTATGTAATCTAGAATAAAAGGAAGTCAAAGACGCAGGGGAGAGGAGGAAATTGGTCTGCTGAGGCACACTGGTCTGTGATATTGAACAGGACAGACGAGTGTGAGCACTCCAAAAACTCATTAAAATCTGTCCAGTACGTTTCATACAGTATACAGCTGACACGGTGTTTAGAGGAAAACATTTGACTTTTGACCCACAGCATGTGGGTTTCATTGCAGCATCTGCTCAGCCGTAGCATCACAACTTTTATGCTGGGTTCCATTTGCCTTGTAGGTTTCCATCTGGTTTGCAGGGAATTGCATCATGTCTGATTAAAACCATGTTGAATGCAGTGGATGCAGTTCTTTGACACCTCCAAGTGAGCTCATCTCGAACATGTTTCTTTGGAGTAGTAGCTCGTATTAAATTGTGAACCTGAAAGGCAAGAACCACATCATGCAGCACGGCACAAAAATTGCTAAAAAAAACCTCAACATTTTGGTGGACCCTTCAGGTTGACGAGGCATTACTGTTGCTGCTACAGAAACAATTCAGGAAAAAACTTAGTTTATAGTTTTGTTCAAAGTGCCAACTTTGTGAGTACTTTTAATCTAAAAACTGTAAATTTTCCCGTATCTGTTGGTTTTTATTTATTTTTAGCAACTTGACATTAAATGACATTAAATCTTTATTCCTGCTCATTATCAGTCATAATCAGGACTCATACTTTGGAAAATTGATGACATTTTAAACTCCAAAAACGTTTTCTTTTGTCTCATTCTTTTCTGGTCCTCCATATTCTGCCCCTGCTGGAGTTGTCTCAAACTGCTCTAAATGAATGGGCTCTTTACTGAGCTCACAGACGATCGATCAACCATACGATGCCTCTAGTGGCTTGTTGTCTCAGTTAGAGGGTGCTTGAGGAGAATCCGCGGTGCTGTGAGGTCCAGGTGACCTCAGGAGTATTGAAGTCTACCATAACCTAGCCTGAAGTGGGACTGAAACTCAAACCCCTGCTGTGCAGGTTATTACTCCCATCCCCAGGGATAATTATAATCTCTCTTATACAATTTCTGCCCTTGGCAGGATTCTATCTGATTTAACAGCAAACAGTAGATTATTTATTGTCTGTAGGAGTTTTTTCCTGACTCTATAAATTCACGGATGTAAGGTTCACTGCTGTGGCCGTGTTTAATTATGTTCCTTGATTATCAGTAGTAGATGCACACCAGTGCTGTGTGTTATAAATAATCAACTTAATAAAAAAATGTTTTATTAAGATTAAAGATTAAATTTGTTTTAATTTTCAGTCACTGGAATTTGGCAAAAATATGCAGGGTTTTTATGGGTGCTTAAAAATCCTTCAGGCCTGATGAAAAAGCACTTGACTGGCAGATCAAGTGTTTGAAAATAGAAAAAAAAAGTATTAGTGACAGTGACTTACACCAGAGACACAAGAACAGAAGGCTGAATATTTTAGTGCAGTGATAAGTAGTGGAGTTTTGCTGCCTGCTAACACACCGCAGTTCCCCTCAGGATGGGAACCAGCAATCACAAAAATCACACTTCTCACAGGTTTTGTTGTCTTAAAAAGAAAATCAAATCAGAAATTCATGTTGATCCATCCCTGTAATCAAAAATACTACCCAGTCTTGCACAGTCAGAAAAAAGGTGCTGACAACTGACATTGAAGTGCTTGAAAAAAAACCTTAATTTGAGTGTAAACAGTGTTCTTTGACAACAGTAGTAACCACAAGTATACGAAAATATATTTTTGCATTATTTTTGTATCCAGTTTGAGAACTTATTTAGTATTTTGATGACTTTTTATTAAATTAACTCCTCTTTCTTGTTGTCATATCTCTTCCAGGTTGATACATGGGGGTCAGCTTCTTAATGGTTTGGCCGGTCCCACTATAATGAGCGCCGGCCCTTACCTGTCAACCACATGGTTCGCCCCCGACCAGAGGGCAACTGCTACAGCTGTGGCCTCTCTCTTTTGCACCCTGGGAGGCTCTGCGTCATTTATCGTAGGACCTCTGGTTGTCCCAGCGCCCAATGACACTCTGGCAGCAGCCGCGGTGGCGGCCGTTACCGACAGCTCCATTCGAGACAGGATCCAGCTGGTTATGTACACAGGTACTGACAGCCAGCGGGGAGCTCAGGGAGGGGGACAAAGGGAATCAATATCACATCATTTCGACATCATGTCGCCTCTGTTTGGAGGGAACAAATACAATCAGGCTGGGGATCCTACAGGTTCAAACAAACAGCAAAAAAAAAAAAAAATCCCTTTTGTGGGACTGACCTGCTAAAGTGATTAAAAAATTAAAATCATACAAAACACACAGGCTTCATTGGAGGAAAGCTTAAGATTTTTATTAACTTGCAGTAGGACTGTTACCGCCAACACCTTCAACAGATAGATATGGTTTTCATATACAGGAGGTTCTCGACTTACGTCAGAATTCCGTTCCTACGGTGGGATGAAACTTGATTTCGGCTTTCATACATTACATATAAGTACCTATGTCACTTACCTACGCTAACACAGTGGTAACATCATAATCCAGGACATAAAAACATCAGAAAAGTCTGACTTGCGCTCATGAGCTATAATAACGACATATTCGTCTGTTCTGCTCGCCAGCTATTTCCCATGTGAAATTTGTTTTAATGCGGTACACCAGAATGACGGAACAAGAACTTTTTAATTAATTTAATTTACAACGTAGGTCAAGGACATCATAAATTGATTGTTGTATTTCTACTCACATCCTAACATAAGCTAAAAATGTGGACATTTTTAGAGGATTGCTTGGAGGACACAAAACACTTTCACCACTGCACTCCACTAACAGACCAGACCACTGTGTTCAGACCAGAATGTTCTGGTTGTCACAGTAACCTTTTTCTGTAAATGTCAGATTGATCTGACTGTCCTGCCTCCGATCTAAAATCATATATGTCTCTTTTATCTCACAGAGTTGGCTGCGATCGCTGTACTCTTTGGAGTAGTGCTCGTTTATTTCCCATCTCGCCCACCTGTGCCTCCCAGCGTGGCCGCTGCAAGTCAGAGACTCAGCTACAGGAGTAGCATCTGCAGACTGATGAGGTGAAACCACACAAACACACACACACATACACACACACACACACACATACACTTTACCCAAAGTCATCTGAAAGACCAACTACAGACAGAACAGTTCTGAGGTACCGGTACTTTTTTTCTAGAATGAAAGCCGATATGCCCTTGACTCATCCTGGGAGAAGTGTGTTATATAATGTGAAACATCAGTTCTAACGTGAAACTCTATTTCTGACTACACACAGTTTTTTTTCTGACCCTGTGTTTGTGTATATGTGTGCTTTTTTTTGTTTAAAGAAGTTGACAGCTTTCAGTCGCAGACTTAAACAGGCTGATGTGAAACTCACCATCTGCTGGAGATGTTATCAAAGCAATCCCAGAAATCCCTGAGGTTGTATTAATTAAACTTCAAACCACTGGTCGATGCTAAAAACATCTTCCTCTGCATTTACAGTAACTCAACAGGGTCAGTTATTAGTTGGTGTTTGTGTATTTCTATGACACAGTAGTGTAAGCCTTTTCATAGAGTTGGAAAACTAAGATAAAAAAATTCTTTTGTCTTTGTCAAGTCTTTTGACTTAATCCTAGTCTTTATTTAGTCAATAGAAGTGTTTAATTTAAGTTCAGTTTTAGTCCAAATTTTTAGACTACTAAATTGAAATTTGATTGAGTGGGCTATGATTGGACTTTGCCTTTGACCAAACAAATGTACCTCTGATTAGCCAACTTGTTTGTTTCTCCAGTTTTCGTAATGTAAATCACTAATTGGACGTTGTCTCTGCCCATTGATTTTTATTTAATTTGATTAATGCATCAGTGAATTTCATTATCATCTTCATCATCATCATCATCATTATTTAGCCTAAAACCCAAGTTTACAGTTTAGTTTTCATCTTGGGAAAGAAAGTTACAAGTCCATAAAACCAACAATGGTGGTATCACATGCTACTTAAAAGTTGTTTTTTTAATTTAGTTTTTTATGTAGCTACAGTTTGAGGCTAAACTGCTGCTAGATCACAAACTGAGCAGCAAGAATTCTCACTTTGCCCTGGTTTAAAAAAACCCAGCCCCATAGCAGTGGACATAGATTAAAGAAAGAGCAAGGAGAAGGAAGAGAAGCCAGGCTGTGGCAGAGCTGGACCAGAATTCTGGCTTACCCCTGACGCCCTCCAGTAAAGAAAATAGCTTCACTGCTACTGCAGCAGTCTTTCCACAGGCCCCTGACAACACAGTGTGTGTTAATGTGCTGTAACTGCTCCCTGAAAGAGATGACAGGACTCAGCGGATGTCAGACTGAGGCATAGTTTTTAGACAGATACACACAAACACGACACACACTGGGCAACTGTTCGAGGCCACGGGGCTCAGAAGGTTTGTGTTCCATTTCTGATAGGCAGCCTTCCAGTGACCTGTTTGGCACTTTGGTTTAATCTGTGTCCAGCAGCATCAAGTTTCATTCCTCTACTGCAGCGACTGGACATAAATAAATCTTTTTATTGTATCACTCACTTGTTCCTAGTGGAGCATACTGTACCGCACTGTACTGTACTGTATATCGGGGGTGTCCACATTTTTCTGGCTTGACCAGGCTAAAGTGATCTATCTACATTGGTAATATATAAAATGAAACATATTTTAATTTTAAATGTTGATGATATACCAGCTATGGCAAAAACACAATTATTAATTTTACTTATTAAGTTTACTGTCCCTTTTCAGCTCTTCTAATCTCTTCTAATCGTGTTTTCCTTCTTGCTACCATAAGGCTAACTGTTTGTGCCCTCCGCACACACCGTAGGTGCCATCAGACTCATCAGTCCCACCGATTCCAAACTATTGATGTATCTGTTCATCCATGTGGCCTGTCAGGGTCTGAGCACTGGTTAATGATCTTCAGTGTGATGAGAGCCTCCAGCTGCTCACATCTGCCTCCACAGCAGCAGTCTAATTGGAAGCCTGAACGTCTCCACACATGGTGCAAAAGTTAATCCTACTCTCTGATCACGGTTCTGGGGCTGACGCTGAAGAGCCCAAAGCCAGAGCCTTGATGTCATACTTACTTTAGCTTCGAAAACTTGTCATTTTGATGCATTGATCCTCCTGCCAGCTCGGCCAAGGACAAATGGCACTTAGCTGATGACACCGCAAGCTTTGAGAATTATTCAGAAATGTTTCATCACCAGCAGGAAGGGAAAACAAATACGCATCATCTCTCTTCAGATCGTGCTATCACCTGCTTACATTTTGTTGTCTAAATAAGAGAGAAGTAAGTGCATGGATATTGATTTCCTGTTGTTGTAGTGACCTTAATGGAAAGGGTTTCTAAGGAGAAGAAACACAAAGATTTTTTTTAAAATCACTTTTATTGCTGTCGTATCATACTCTCTCCAGGTCCAAATATCTCTACAGTGTTCAGGAAAAGACAGGATTCAGACACACAGACAGGATGTGTTTGGTTCTGTCTTTAATGTCAAATCATCCTGCAAATGGAAGTGATCCATTATCCAAAAAGGAATAGGGTTAAAAGGTGTGCAGGTATTTGCGGCAACACTTGTCTCTGTAAATACCTGCAGACCAGTTTCGGGATGACTTCATTCCGTAGTTTGAGATTCAAAACCCAGACTCAAATTGTGTGCCTGACCCTTGTTTCTGTGTTGTTAAGTGTTTGAAGCGGGAGGCCAAAAGTGTTCTCTAGATGTCCCTGCTTGATACTGGCTCAGACTGCTGCCTCCTGCATCATAATGAACCAAGCAGGAAGAGGATACCTGCCTTTAAGCAGCATTCAGAATCATAAAATTTAATTAAAAGAAGCTATGCATTCAACACTTGTCTCGCAATGCCTCATTTGTCAGACAACCCAGTGATTCTAACCACATTGTTAGGGCTGAGGAGGTGGCGCTGATTCAAAACTTGGTGCCACCGCATTGTGCAAAGGTGGTTAGTGTGGGCGTTTCAGGAGATCGTAATTGGGTTGCCTGGGTGTAGGATGGTGGCGTATACCATTAAGAGTTTAGCTTCAGGCGTGCGCGCGCGTGTGTGTGTGTGTGTGTGCAGGATATGCATGTATAAGTAAGTATAAGACAGCTTGTACCTAAATCCCTGTTGCCCAAAACTCTCCATCACAGCTAGGAGACGATGCTCCATACAAGTTTACAACTTTAGTTTTGCTTTTCCTTCTAGAAAATGAGGGGATGTCGTCGTAAAGTAAATACAATGAGGGTTTTTGCAGTTTGTCAAACAAATCACATTCATCATGCAGTTACAGCAAGGCAAGTTTAACTCAGGGTAAAACTCAGGGTTTATCTCTGGGCTCTGCTGGTTTGTTTGCCAATGTGTCTCTGGTGAAGACATTTGATCATATGATTTACCCCATCAGTCCTACAGTGATAACCACTGGCTAACTTGTTTGTTCAATCAGTCGGTATTCTCTAGTCTACTTATTAAGTAAAAGAGTATTTTGAGTAACTGTTGAAATATCTAGCTGTGCCAATGTGTATTCTGTGCATATTACTCTGTGTGATACCTCTCAACTTCACTCTGTCAGGTCAGGCTGCACTGATACGGTGGCTGCTTATCTCTCTGTCACCATCCTCTGCATTAGGACAGGATCTGTTGTAGTTTGAAAGCACATAGAAAAGAGCCAAAAGAGAAAAGAGTGTGTGTGTGTAGGTGTGTGTGTGTGTGTAGGTCTGTGTGCAGCCGACTCATGAAAAAAATAGCTGAGTCTGATGGCAGACCTCCAAATATCAGTAAACACAGAAACGAGGAGTCATCCCATACCTTTGCTCCCTGCATGTTTGCAGTGAAAACAAACTTAACAGAACAAAAGTACTTTGTGTAAGGGCAGCACTGACCATTTATTGTGTTCTTGTCCCTGCAGTAACTTCCGGTTCCTGATGATAGCACTGGCCTACGCGGTCCCTACAGGAGTGCTTGCTGGTTGGGTAGGAGTTCTTGACATGGTTCTTACTCCTGCTAAAGTCAGTCAGGTGGGTAACACCCTGTCAGAGTACAACTGAGCTACATAACACACTTCTTATTACATTCAGAAACAACAGGAAGAACAGATCAGTAAACCAAGGTCATTTTGACTTTACTGTAATTGGTTTAAAAATAAATTCTTCATCTTCACCTCAAACCGTTCCTGACCTATATTTATATAATCTGTTTGACACTGTGGGATAAATCTTTAAGATTCTCTATTGTTGTTCTTAAGAATGTAATCAGTTTTTTTGTTTGTAATCTGTCCAAAACTTGTTAATTGCTAATACACCTATTATAGAAGCTAAGGTTACTTCTTCATCTTGTTACAGCAGAACATCTGCATTCTTCTTCCTTCTAACGTTACACCAACATCATCTGTTTATAACGACCATCCTCCACGTCTTAGTCTTGTCTCCCTAACTTCAACAGTCCAAACTGTTTGACCTCAGCTGTCTCCTCTGATCTGCTCAGTTCCATCCATCCTGATAACAGTGACTCCCATCACCGTCCTTTAAACCTTACCTCTCACTATTGCAGCTAATTTTCTTCCGTACATCACTGTGACACTCCTCTCCTCCCACTCTGCCCTCAATTGTTGACCAAAGCCATTTCAAATCATCCTCTTCACTAACTCTCCTTCCTGCATCCTCACATTTTCACCTGCATTCAACGATAATGACACGCGTGTTTAGAGTCTTTATTCTGAACGCATTCCAAGGACATGCTTGAATTGAAATCCTTTTCAAAAACAATGCAAATCGTTGTCCAGATGTATTTATGGGAAAGAGGAGGCAGAGTCACTTTGTATTCTGAACAACAATCAACTTTTATTCTCAGTTAGATTACAGTCGCATCAATATCAAAAGCAAATATAAAGAGCCGCTTATCGTATTTGGAATTATTCAAAGAAAGTGAACAACGTCAAAAGTTGATATCCTTATACATAAAACTTTTTGACATGTTGAAACAGCTGTCTTGAACTGCAATTCATAAATCTGACTTTTCTTCAGAAAGTGTGGAAGTCATGATAAGTGTAGTGCTGAAGTTTTCTTTGAGGGTTGAAATGTTCTCTAAACTAACTTTATTTCTCTGCATAAATACACCCTAATGTATTAATCTACAACTTTGCCATTCACCGGGCGGACAAAAGATTGAGCCACGTTTCCAGGAATCTTCAAAAGAAGGAGGCAACAAAGTGGGGGGGGGGAAATAATGTCTTGTGTCCTGAAAGTAAATTAGTCATTGTGCCTGTGTGCTCATTTTTTTTGTGAATAGCAGAATCAGTAAAAATATCTGATTTGCATATCTCCATCTCTTCAGTCCAACAGGGACAAAAGTGGGGCCAGAGTTTGTGTAGAAAAGGTCAAAAGAAAACACTTAGTATTATCACACAGCATTGTGTTGAAAGACAAATGAAGAAGAATCATCTCAGGGCTGTGAGCAAACAGGTGCAGCCGAGGCTGAGGCTTATGTTACAAACCATGAGTATAAAAATATCAAAATTATGCAGGTACTTCATCCATCCATCCATCATCTACTGCTTATTTCTTTGCACGGTCACAGGTGTGTGTGTGTGTGTGTGTGTGTGTGGGGCTCTGCTAAAAAATAACAAATTAGAACAAGAGAGCCATTTTCTACAATCTAATAGTTGGGTATTTCATGTCTTTAATCCATCTATTTGTATGCTGATGAATGGTTAGTTGTTTTTCTGTCATGATAATTGCTACATTCAATCTCACATCGTAGTTTTATTTGGGCAGCATTGTGCCAGAGAATTTCAAATTGGAAAAAAATTACAAAACAAAAACAGAGAGCTCTTCTGTGGTGTGACAATTTACCAGATAGGATGTCATTCTGACACAAACTCCATCTCCTCTTTAGCACCACTTGATAGGGATGTGGCTGTCGCAGGAAAAAAACATGTTTCATCAAACAACAATCTATTTTTTATTTACCTTGAAGATCTGTAGAGCAGAACTGTCCACAAACACATGCAGGTCCTGTTCACTTTGCAGGCGTTTTGGTAATATCTTTGTCGCGCATGTGACAGGGCTCCTGCCAAGCTTGTCCAAAGTTAAGTGGGATCATGGGACGTTGAAACAACTCACAGTTGCTTTGTGTGTCCATTGGTTGCAGTCTTATCTTTTGTAGCAGGTGAGATTATGGTTCAGTCATTTTTAGTCACTGCACAGAGGTGCCCATAGAAATGTTTCCATTAGTGTCAGGTTGTTATGCATTGTTTGGGCAATATACACCTATATAACCTTTATTACATCAGCTGGCTACACATTGTCTCTGCAGATAGACTTATGGAAACATAAATGTATTTTGTCTTTCCAGTAACACACTCATTGTAAATTACACTTGTTTGGAGCCAAGATAAATGGGTAATTGTCAGTCTCTGCCGGCTTAACGTGATGATTCCCAGTGGTAATTTTTCATGTTTGTGTTGGGAGGCACATGTTGTATAGCACAGTGTTTCCTAAACTATTATTCTGGGGACTCATATTTTAAACTCCTGGGAAACATGATGTGACACGACCTCCCCAAAAAATTGTGTTGCATTCCTCTTCTGTCATGTGTAGGAATTTCTGATTTCTCACCAGTTGGTAGTTAGTCAGCTTCACTCTGCGTTTCCTCGATGACCACTGACTGGGCCACTCTGAGGTTGTGTCGTGGGCTGCATGTGGCATGTGGGCCACTATTTGGCTGTAGAATAATATACTCCAACATTTGCTGCTCGGTCTCTCTCTTTCCAGTTAGTAGTGGGTTGAATTGTACATGTGGGTAAACCTTCAGTGCAGCAGTATTATTTTCAACAATATGAAGGTTCGTTGAACTGGTACTTCACCACATTGTTTTTGCAAGGTGTCATTCCAGTTGGCTCGTAGAGCTGACTGGTGTTTTTCATTTTCAGAGCAAATAAAAACAAAACCTGCGACAAGCTGCACTAAAAATGCCTTTACACACTGTTTGATGGACGTTTTATTTCAACAAAGGCTGCCAAAGTAGCACAATAACATGTTAACGCAAATTACTTTTTACTGTTTTTTGACAAGCAAGTAATATACAACTTTTGTAATTTGACATCGGTCTCACTGCGTAAATCCGGGAATCAGAAAGCAACGTGTCTGAAATGTGCTGATGGCAGAGACAAAGATAATAAAGAATATGTTTTTTAAATGGCAGCTGTTGGCTTCAAACCAGTACTAGATGGTACTGTTGAATTGGTACTGTTGAATTGAGGTACCCCCAGAGTCTAGTGATGCAATGAGATGTGTAACTCAATCCCTAAAAAGAAGTGTTTTTTTATTGCACAATTTACAGCTTTACTTTTTGTTTTTATGAACTCCAACCCAAAGAACAGAAGAATTGAAGAAACAAACATTTCTAACAAGTAGCAAAGAAACGGTCTTAAAATTCTACCCTCATTTCTCTGCATATTAAAGTAGGTTTGTTTAATTGTTACAAAATCTCCTTCTTAAAAAAAAAAGTTGACTAATACCTTGTAAATCTTGCAATTTTTAAGGACAATAGTGGGATTAATCTCGGAAATACATCTCATTTGATATCCCCAGAGTAAAATCCTTCCAAATTTGAACTAATATTCAAATTGAAATTAAAAACTGAAAGTTTTGCCACCTACAGTCCAGTCAAAAGTGATGAATGTGCTCTATTTACTTCCACATCCTTCCTGTGTTTTTACTTCACTATGACACAATACTTCCCTCACCTCCCAGTCTGAGTCAAATCTTACACATATATATTGGTTCATTCCCACAATCAGTTCTTTACCATTTGTTCCCTTGCGCCATTTGTTGTAATTTTGTCAAGTCCTTACGTTTGACCGCTGTTCTACACTTCCTCCGTGCGGCTCTCTTTAGCCTCTTGTTCATCTCTACCATCCCTCGCTACATCTCTGCTTTATTCTTCTCACTTAAGGGTTCTTTGAAGTAAAAGGCTCTTTTGTTTCCTTAGCTATCCACACTATCTCATTTGAGGAGAGCCGTGATACTGCAGGAGCAGGTGTCACTGCGTAGAAGACAAAGACAAATGTTGCTGTCTATTTTCCAGGACTGGACAGGAAAAACAAATCTGTGCCCATTCAATAGCTTTCAGGCAGCAAACTGTCCAGAAACTAAACAAACAGGCTCTGTGAATAACAAAAACAGTCATTCATCACCTCAGCTGTTTGGAAACGGCATATTTTTCTGCAAATGTGGTGGAAAGAGTAACTAGTTCAGCCTGATGTTGGAGCCAAATGTTGCACAAACTTTCTGTGAAAGCAGAGACAAAAACTACATACTGACAGGATTTCATTCATAGAACGTTTTTCTTTATTTACATTGAAGGCGTTAAATTGACCATAGGTGTGAATGTGAGTGTGAATGGCTGTTTGTCTCTATGTGTAGCCCTGTGATGGACTGCTGAAAGAATTTAACAATAAAAATGGGATTTATTTTTAAAATTACATTCGTGGTTTTCAAGGTTATTCATGTAAAAGATTTACTTTTTAACACTATTATTAACATGGGTTAAATATATATGTGTGTGTTAAATGTTCATTGGTAAAGTCTGTCTTCTTCAGGTTTATTTTTCAAACTCATTGTTTTTTGGGGAGATTATACTTTTTTCTTGTCATTGCCAGTTTTAGAAAGTTGGCTTGTGGGCCACATCTGGTCCTGGGACCTTCTGTGGCCCAAAGACAAGGACTGAGCACAGAACTCAGCATTAATTTAATGAGTCAGGCTAAAGCAGCAGCAGGTGCAGTGCTATTATCATCAGTTATTTCTAATTGTTCCCATAATGGAAACAAGCCATTAAAAAAACAAGAACTTTAAAGTGAGCTGAATGCGACGTGTCTTTTACAGCTCCACCACTGTTTGTTTTCACCACTTCTGCAGTGCTGAATCAAATCCAGTTTGTTCTGCAAACAAAAGCCTTCTGTCTTATATAAATTGTTTTGGGGATTTTTGCCATTTATTGCGACGTTAAACTGGAACAACGTCTCAGACTAAAGGATGATATTTTTGATTAATGACTTTAAAAGGCTTAAAAAAAACCACGGGACATGAGCCCAGAGATCGAGGGATGCAAACACATTAATGTGTCAAGAGTCTTAAAAGCTTAGTTTTCCAGATCCTAACAACTGTCACTTTGTGCTTATAGACACTATCGCTACATAACAGACCTGATTACACTCCTTTTTATGGTGTTGCAGGCTCCACTAACGCTGCAGTTAATTAACTCTCTAGCCACACATGAAATGTAGCAATTTGCATCTCAGAATTTGAATGTCAGGGCAAGCAGTTTGTGTTCAGTTTTTCTAATTCTGTCCACATTACCATTGACCACTAATGCTGCAAAGCTTACAGAGATTGTGAGCAGCACTCATATTTTTAAACGTTTACATATCAAATACTTTTGTTCTCTCTTCTCCGAGAGTCAGGATGAGGATGCAGTTCACTTCGTAGTTAGCATTTGGTGTTAATAAAAGACAGTGGTCCCACGTGGAACACTCTGGGTGTAATCTAGATAAAATATAATAACATTTCATTCATCACTTACTCAGCCAGAATACATTTTAGGTTTAATAACTTTGATCGTCCACTTTTCTTCATTATAGACTTTCCTGACAGGTCGTTGCAGACTGTGATTAAACAGAAAGCATCAGATCCTACTTGAGATTCTGCTCTTTTGCTACCTCGTCTCCCATCTGGTCAAATTTGGTTGAGTGTGTGTTATTGCCCCGGGGAGATTGATGGGAACCAAACACCTTCACTGGCACTCGGAAACTCGGTTCCACAAACTGATTTGCTTGGTGTGTGCGTTTCCGTTTGTTTCTTCCTGTGTTTATTGGCGCAGCACTTTACCTCGTATTGACTCTCTGGCATTTCCTTGGCCTTAATCTCCTAACTTTAGGGCCAAGTATATTTGGCCTTTACGGAGGACAGTAGTTTTGTGCAGATACACACACAAGCACACACAGTTTGGAGTTCTTTTCCATTTCCACTGAGTGACAGGCCTCAGCAGACCTCAGACACTTGATGATTACTCTCTCTGTGTTTCTCTGTCCTCACAGACATTGTTTGCATGTTAAAAACCCAGACTCTATTCTTTTCTCCTGACTTTCCTGACCACCATCCCATTATTCCTTGTTTTACAGGTGGATGCAGGCTGGATTGGTTTCTGGTCAACTGTCGGAAGTTGTGTGTTTGGCGTAGCGATGGCCAGGTAAGAAATACACAGAGAATTTTTATGACTCTTCTTTCAAAACTCTTTACTAAAAAAGGGCAAACTTTTTTTTAAATGAAATAAGTGATATTCCAGAAAAAAAAACCCAACATTGATATATCATCGGAAAAATGCACTTTCTCTAACCAACTGGACTGTAGTCAGTAACCTGAAGGACACTCCAAAAAGTAATTACTGAGTCAAGTTGTCCTGCTGGGAATTGTCTTTCTAAAATTGACTTTCTTTGAAGCACCTTTTGTAGTCCTCAGCCACTCAACAGTTAGTACCATCGTCTGATTCTCCCCTACACAGTTTAAATAGGAGTCAAATCTGGACTGCAGGCAGGCCAGTTGTGGAAGATATAAAGGCATTGTTCTCTATTCTGTGCCATCATGCTTGCACGACCAGCCATTTATGGATGCTCCTTTTAGAGTAATAATAAGGGGCAGGCAGAGGGGTTGGGTTGGTTTTGGGCCGGCTCATTTGAAAATCTTGCTTAAGGCCCCCATTTGGTTAAGGGCGACCCTTTGTACCAGTCTTTACAGTTTTGACCAATTAACATCCTCACTGATGAACCTTTGATGATAATTTAATTATAAACTTTTTATTCAAACTTTGCCTTTTGTTGGAGTTGGTTATAGACGCTGTATTCCACTTATGTTGCCTTTAAATTCATTTTCATGAAGTATACCAACTTTTCTGCAAATTGAACTTGTACTTTGTTTAGTTTTAAATTAAACACGAACTTGCATGGTTAGATTTGTAAGCACGTTTCCACTGCTAAGACCTCTGACTATTACGACTGCTGGTGTGTGACAGACCCTTCCTTGAATGGCTTTGCTAATTAACATCTATCACAAACAGACTCCATGGTGCCCTAGGTAGCCTATACACAGGGCTCTCATCCATGGTATTGTCTAACAACACGCACACACACACACACACACACACACCCAAACACACGCAGACTCAGACACTTTTTTTCTCCGTGCTGCAAACAAAGGGCCAATTCCGTCTCATTATTAGGCTAATACCACCCAGCTAAGTGAGAACTTGATGGACCCAGTGAGGCTTAAAATGAGAAAATAACCATTTACTGTAACCTCTCATTTCAATTTATAGAACCTGGATGTTCAGAACAACAGCCATCTGAGACAGTTGCCTCAGTTTGAGATGGTTACATTTGCAGTAATGAAACGTCCAGATGGCCACCAGTGTGTGCTGCAAAAGCATATGGACCCAAAATCTTAGAGAAACTTTAAGATGATTGACAAACTGATTGCTTTCTAGATTAATGTTGCAGTTTTTAGGAAACACATGTATATTTACATTTACGCATTTAGCAGACGCTTTTATCCATAGTGACTTACAGAGGAGAATTAACATTATCAAGCATGTGGTTCCTCTGAGAATCAAACCCATGACTCTCTGCTCTCTGAGGCAGGCATGCTCACCACTTTTTAAATGTGTTAAATGAACAGTTCCCAAACTTTTGGCCGCACACTTCCTTTAATATGCCAATATAAATCCCGGTAGTACAAAAAATGTAATAAAATGTTTTCTAACTACAGATTATCTAAGTTTTAAAGCAGATGCTGTGAAAGTGTCACAGTTTGGGGAGAGTCCAGTCAGTTTTTTTTAGTTTTTTCATTTGATTAAAATATGGCTGGCTGTCACCTCCATCTGTCCATGTGGGACACGGCCAAAGTCTGAAACGAATGCTTTTAATACATAATCAGATCACACTAACAATGTAACAGAGGCAGGGCAGCAGATCACATTAAATTTGTATTCTTGATAGATATAAACCCACAATATGTGCAGAAGGGAAGGAGTCAGTGATTCTCTGACAGGTAAGAAGTAAAGTCCAAACGTTGGAGAGCACCTTTTCCATTTATTTGAATGGGAGGAAAGGTCTCACATCTGTTGGACCTGTATGTATATTTATCTTCAGCCGAACTCCACTCAGCACTTCCACTCAGGTCCACTGTTTTCTTTAAGTTGTAATCAGGAAAAGGAGCCCATAACTCCTCTGTTTAATCAATGAAGCTGTTTGCAGCAAAGCGTGATTGTAAGAGTAAACAGAGTTGTTGAATTATTGGTGTTGATTTCCATAGACTCTGAGTCCATAGAGAAATTGATTAGTCTCTCTTTGATTCCACATTTGAAAGTTTAATGAAATTAAGCTCCAAAAAGCGTAGTCATTTTCGGCTCTGACCAAAGATGAATATTAAAAATGGTTTGAGGGATAAATGGAAGGGATCATGAGTCGGTAAGTGCATAAGGCAGTGAGAATAACAATCCCTCATTTAATGTTGTATTGTAATTCAAAGATGACATGTTGTCAGTGTCTTGATTAAATTGTGCTTCTATCACTAGACATTAGAAAACTTTAGCCAAATGGTTTCGTCCACACTGTTGCCACACAGCTATTGATGACTTTACTTTGAAGAGATTGCAATGTCAACTGAAAGAGAGTAAAAGTTCCAAGTTCCAGACTCTGTGGCCAGCTTCATTGATCCTAAAAATGTGTGATGATGATCGCCAGAAGTCAAAGGAGATAAAAGATTGTCATCTAAGCTCCATCCACAGAGCTTCACAGCAGCGCCATGCCATTTCCAAAATGAACATAGCTATTTTGAGATAAATTTGAGACCAAAGTTACCAACTGCTCCTGTCAGTACTTTATACTCAAACATCATCAATTGCTTGTTCTACGCTCACAAACAAAGTGGAATACATGAAGTACTTTTACTAACACATCTGGAGAAGTACAATGGTTGGATCTTTCCTGCATTACTCTCTGTTTCTCTCTATGTCTGTGTGAATTGTTTGATAAATATGAATTGCACATATTGACTCATGAGACAGGTAAAACAGTTTCAAGTTTTGATAAATTCAAATGAAGGCTATAGCTGATCACATTACCTCTGTTAAATATTCTTCTCATACACACAAGTAAGGTGACTTTTAGTCTATTTCCTGGGTTTCTGTCTTGTAACCAAACTACATCCTTAGGATCTATGCCTTTGACATGATGTGAGTACAGCCCTTCTATTAGGGGGGACATTAGGAAGCAGTATTTACAAAAAATCCTTTAAAAATAGCCCTGTATTTCTGTTTTATTCCTATAACAGCGAAATGCGGCCTCACTTGACTCCTTCCCTTCTCCTTCAGCTCTTACATGGCATCATTAGAAACATTCCCCAGGAAAGCCCGTGGTAATGAAATGAGCAGAAAGCAATCTTTGTCCCCTGTCGCACCCACTTGCAGCCCTTTCAGATGCGAATGTTGGAATGTGACTTATTATTTGCTGCTATCTGTTGTTCTTCTTCCCCTAAGGCAGGGCTGTGCCAATGCGGAGCACAGCGCTGCCACTGGGTGGGGAAAATAGCCCAGTTTTAAATGATCTTTGTGTTGCAGTCTCACATTTTTACTGCCTATTCCCCCTGCAAATGCTGCATTTCCGAAGCCATCAGCACTTGGCCTTTGCCAAAAAACCACTGGCTGCCTGCAAACATTTTACTGCCTGTGTACTGCTGGTGGGCAGAGCAGCAGACACAAGCTTAATACAACAGATTCTGTTTGTGAAGGCAGATACCGTGGCACCTGTCATGAAAACTACTATTAAACAAAAAGTTTGTTTTTCCACTGAATATTAGAGGAGGGTTAAGTCAATTGTTTTTGTTACTTTACTTTTACCTACATGCTCAGAACAGAGCATGTGAGGGGGAAGTGACAGAAAACAGACCTGTCATATCGTCTTGTCTGAGGCAGACACTTGTTAGTTAAGGTTAATGAAATGAGATGGAGGAAACAGATGAGAATCAGACGCTGCCTGCAAACAGAGAACAGTCAGTGATTGCTTACTGGTCATCATAATACACTGTCAACATCTATTTTGGTACTTAAGACATGTCCCTCACTGAAAAGGGACAGACCCTAATGAGAATATCTGACTGATGATATTCCATCATTTCCGCAGGCTCAGTGAGATCGGAAAATAGAATCTGATTCTGCGTCGCCTAAATGAGCCCATCTTTATGGCCCATAAATCCTGTTAGAAGAGCGTAAAAAATGGGCTTTTAATTCTGACTTTGCCTCCTGAGAGGATATGACCCTCTTTACTCACTGAGTAGTGTAACAGGCTTCTGAATTACATTAAATGATACCTGGATTAGTGAGGCTGCACTTCTCAGCCAATTTATTGGTGTTTGCTCTCTCTTTCTTTCTCCCCTTTCTCTCGTTTCTGCTCACTTTCTTTTGTCGTACAAGGAAATGAGATGCTGTCTATCAGGCTGCACGTGTGTTGGGCAGCATGAGTAACTGTGACAAGAAAAAACATTATTAAATCTTGTCTGGTCTTGTCTCAGTGACTTAGATACCACCAGAGGTTGAGTACAAACAAGAACAATCAGGGCCTGCCTCAACAATAAAATTTTGGTGAGGCAGGAACCAAGACTCAAGATCTCTGGGGAATCTTGACAAAGTCCAAAGAAGCAGCTAATAAACAGTCTCACAATGGACTATATATACAGCAGAGACTAAAGTGCTGCAGGGCTAGGTTTCCCACCAGCCATTTGATAGCACCTAGCCCACCAGGTTGGGTTGTATCAGGAAGGGCACCGGTGTAAAAACGCAACCAAATGACTCAAACAACCACCACAGTGGAGAAAAAGAAAGTGATTCTTCTTCTTCATTGTTCCTGTTTTATATTCTTCATTCTTCTTTTTAGTTCTTCTTTTCATTCACAAATGCAAAGCTGCATTTTACAGTAAATTGTTCCTTAGGCTTGCTTTGAACAGGTCAAGAAACGTTTTGAATCAAATACACAGAATAGGTTTTAATCTGCTAGTTGGGAACAGAATGCCCCCCCCCCGCCCCCCTGAGCTAAGAGGTGTTACATCACGGCCGTCTGGGTTTTAATTACAGATGGCTCGATCTGTCTGATATTGGCCAAAATAACAGGCTAAAACAAACAAAAAAACAAAACTTTAGCACATCCGATCTAATAGCTAAGACCAAATGCTCAACTTAACATAGAGTGATGTGCTGTAAACAGGGGCATTGTTGCCTTAGCAACGGCAGTCAGCAGTATTCAATTGATATGGGTATCAGCAGATACTCTAAGTTTAGTTGTTGATATCGGTTAAATCACTCCTGCCCTGACACATTCCTACGTATAAGGCTCACAGTATGTTCTCTCTCCACCAACCTGGCCAGCAGCGTCCTTTCAGATTATCACCACCTAGCTGAACGAATCAGATGTTTTCTCCACTTGTTTTTATTCTCACTTTAAGCTTGTTGTCAAGATCACCCCTCAACTCTAAAGCCTGGTGTCTGTGAGCAACAAAACAAATGTAATTAGTGTGTCTTTGCTACGGGCTGTCGTTGCTCCATCTAATCTTGTTGCAAGCGCATGTATGCATGCCTAGAGGAGCAGAAAGAAGTTAATGAACTATTAGGGTTTTTGCAAAGGCTACAGGGAGAAGCCACAGCACCCACACGATTTTTGAGAGTGGTGCAATCGCTTGTCTTCCTCAACATAAACACACTGCAAATCTCGGGTCTGTCTGTTTAGCTACTGAGACAAATTGAATCAACTCTTGGAAATGGTGTCTGCTTGTGTAATGACAAGAACAATCGACACGCTCAGAAATAAGTGGGAGAAGGAAATGATCCAGCCTTTCTACGAAACAACACATGTCTCCCATAATAGATGGTGACACAAGTCACAAAAGACATCGAGCACTGAGAAATTACATGGCTGCTCAGTGTTTGTGAACCAGTCATCTCATTTCTAAAGCAGTCATCTTCACTCTCTTCAAGAATTCCGTCTTTGTTCTGTCTGAGTGTTTTTTTCTTTTAGATCAGCATCTTAAGCCAAAGGACTATGTGCTGTGCATTTAAAATTGATGTCCAACTTTTGCATATTTTTTCTTCTGTTACAACCTTAGGTTTGCCGACTCTATTCGGGGAATGTTGAAGCTGATTCTGGTGCTGATGCTGGCAGGAGCCTCTCTGTCCTCGACGTGGTTCACACTCACCTGTCTGAACAGATACACTCACCTACCCTCCACTGCAGGTGGGTGCAGATCGGGATCATTTCATAATTTGAATTTGTAATTATTCCCTGCAATTGCCATGTATTCTTAACCTCAGTTTTCAATGTGTTTCTGATCAAGTAGTTCAATGTAGCCACTCAGTAGCAACATAAAAAAAGAAACTATCATCAGTAATATATATTTTAGTGTATAAACAAATTCTTAAATGATTCTTAAATGATAAAGTTAATGTAATCATTAATCAGTACATCCTGCCACTGAAGGTCAATCTTCAAATTATCTGTAAAGGTCCTGTCCAGTGCCTGTTCTGGTGCAATATTAGTATAATCTACAGTCAAACCAATCCATTAGTAGATGTCAGTGATAAATGTGCCTGAGACATCAGTGGACTTAGCTGCCTTTCTATAATCCAAACCACTAGTCATACCAGCGTTTAGTTCAAAGCCACTGAGTTGAGCTATAATCATCCATCATCATTTTCCATGCTCATCCACTGCTCCAATCACTGGCAGTCTGCAGGAGCCCAGCTGCAACCTCCTATTTAACCTGGTGTATTTTCCAAAAGGTTCATGTGATAATGCGAACATTCTAAATTGGAATTATCTGTGTGTGTGTGTGTGTGTTTATCTGATCGTCCTAATCTGTATTTTTATGAACACCACCAAAATATCAATGTATTTTTTTTCTTTATAGCAATGTAGTGACACATTTCTGTGAATTACTAAATATATTGTTATTTTTCAAAACACTTTCAACAAATATGGTCCCGCATCTCGTTACCCGATGCTCTTGAAGACTTGAAGTTTATTTTGTGCAGCAAAGACAGTGGATCAGGTGGTAGAGTGGCTCGGCTCACTCTCCATCGTTTGGCAGTTTTTAATTCCCCCAGAGCCAGCTCATGTCAGGAGAAGCATCCAGGGGAGTGGTGGGGTCTGAATTCAAGATGCAGATGCTTGTTTGCACTCATACTGTCTACTCAGTGTAGCAACAGGACACCAAGTACTCTGCAACTTGACAAATGGTAGTTTTTGTTTCTGTCAAAACCCAATAATTGAGCTGTTCAAATTTCATGGTACACACAATTCACCACAAAACAAATAGAAAAGTGGGATGCGATCTACGAATAGGTGGACTGTCAACATTATTAGTAATGTTGAATTTAATGTGGCAGAGAAGTATGTGAGTGTGGTGCAGGAACATTGAGAGTCATAGTAGAACCTTGTGGTGATTTCAAGTATGGTAAGGGTTACAATAGTGATGACCTATTATTCATAGGCCACAAGATGGAGATGTAAGATCCATCCTGAATGTTAGGTGTGAAACTGAAATTCAACCTAATGCATAATTTGATAAATGTCACATATTTCGTGGAAAGAGGTGAATCCCACATCCCTCTGCTGTCGGCTTATCCTTTCCTCATCTGTGCACTGGTTGTAGATGGTCCAGTTTAATAACATCAGGGGAAACGTGCAGTGGTTGAAGTGCTCTTAAAGGTTTCATATCACTGCTTCATTAGGGCCAAAACAAGACAAGCCGTGGAGAATGATGGCCACACACGTCCCACTTGGGCTCCTCATCAAAGAGAGCAAGGCAGCTGGGTATGCAGTGGCCCTCAGAGGCACTGAGATTAAAGGAACAGCCACGCTAATGGGAAACTCGTTTGGACCAATCTGCTGTAATAAGAGAGATGGACTCCACAGTCAGGCTCAAAGCGTTAATAGCCGGGGTCCTCTCTGCTTCTACTCCAGTACATGTTTACAGATTTGATCTTGGTTCCCGTCTAAAGGACTGCAAATAGACAGTGAGGATGAAAGTGAAAACATACTGAATATAGTAGATATAGATTTTTTATGCCCACTCCAAAGAAGTTTGGACAGGGTGAAGGCAGACCACAAAATATGTTTTTTTGTTATTCCAAAAAGGTTAGGGTTAGGGTAACAAGCGCGAGGGACCACGCAAGAATGTTTAGGTCAAGGGTCTCAAACTCTGCTATCTCATTATTTATAGTTAGAAACTGATCATCATGATGTGACAGTGTAGCATTAACAACTTGGGACCAAAAAACAACAACCGAGGTAATTTGTGGACTGTGGAGGCCAAGTCAAAACAACTTAATCAAAATGTGGCATGTTTCTTTTTGCAGAGCAGCCACTTTCCAACAGAACTACTGTATCTTGATTGTGTTTGTTTCCAGAACATTACCACCTCCAGGGTAAAAATGTACAGTAAGTGTTTATATTAACAAACTAGCACGGTTGTTGTTCTTGGGTACCATCTTTTTTAAACAACTACTCAGTCATCTTTTTTAAACAACAGACTCTGTCATTACATAGCCAGATGCCACTTATTATTTCCCTGTAATAAACTGTAATGTGTCCGACTGTGTTTTTGCCCATTGACAGCCATCCTGTATACCTCCTGCATCCTGATGGGCATCTTCATCAACAGCAGCGTGCCAATATTCTTTGAACTCTTCATTGAGACGGTCTATCCTGTCCCTGAAGGCTTCACTTGTGGAGTAGTGACATTCCTGGGGAACCTGGTCACTGGTCTGCTCCTGTTCTTTCTCACATTTTACTGTACAGGTAAGTCAGGAATCAGTGTGTCATTTCATTTTTTTACTTTCCCCCCGATTTCTCTCTATTTATTTGCATGGATTTCATGCAACACATTTTCTATTTCTTACATCTGTCAATAAAAAAACAACTTCTTCTATTCAGAGGCCCTTTGTGCTTCTGTAGATTTTCTTTCCCCTCATCCTGTAAGAACCACAGGCCCCTTTGTTTTCAAAAATCCATTTGAAGTCCAGCAGAAGCTGCTGATAAAAGGCATACAGTGGGAAAATTAGGTTGCAATTCCATTTACACATTCAGCACAAAGAAAACCTCCCTGTGGTAATTTAGCGTCTGAGTTGGCTTCCTGGGGGAGTTTGATAAAATGATTCAGTGTCAGATGGCAGAGAAAAGAACGTCAGCAGCTTCCATAGGTTTCATGAAGGGAAGTGAATTTGAAGTGAATCAAACTCAGTTATTTCACCTTCATCGTTGCTGGTATTAAAATCAGCGTCACTGTGATCTTTACTCACCTGTTCCTTCCCATCATGTAAATTTGGCTTCATCGTGGCACGTATTAACCAGAAAAACACACTTTCTACCTCATTTGTTCATGTAAATAAAAAGCACATTTCTACACTCTTGTAAATATTCATAAACATCCCTGTCCTCCCATTTTTCCGACAAATCCTTCCAAATGCCGCCAGGCTGCAGGCAGCTGCTGCTTCACATCTGTATCCTCGTCCTTCCTTCTTCGTGTGAACTCAGCACCTGTGGGGGTGAATATAATTCCTGACCTGAACAGATGTGAAGCCCTGCAGGTCTTGGGGAGGCAACAAACAAGAAAGACAGCCATAAAAAACCAGCGTGTCTTTTAAAGTGAGCAAGTCTGAGTCTTAAGTGCTTGACTTGTGTATACGCTGTGTTGTGGTTTAATCGTTATCGATGCTATAAAAAAATAATTGGAACATCCAGTTTAAACGCTGCCTGGATTTTACAGTACTGTAAAGCCATGCATCCATGAGCGGACGCAGACAGTCTGCCTGGAAAGCTGTTTGCACCATCAGACCGATGCTGTGTTTCTTTAATGCACTGAAAAAATCCTGAAGTTAAAACCTTCACAATGCCTAAACAGTCAATGTTTTACTGACATCAAAATGACAACAGTCTCAAATGTTTTGTTTTATCTAGAAACTGAATATGAGTTCATCAAGTCCCAGAGTTGTTAATCACTTTGACTGCAGCAGAGAGTGGGAGAAGCTTTGACTCTGACCTTAAAAGTGTCTACAATCTGCCTGAATTTAGAGTACAAAGAGGGACAGTCAGACGCTGATTGTCCCTCTTGCCCCGATTATAAAAATAATTTTGACATTTAGCTCTTCTCTGTTAAAATCAGCACTGTCTGCGCTCCTAATATCAAACAGTGAGAATGTAACTCAGAAGGATTTGAGGAATAACAGGGAGAAATGAGAGAGTTCAAAATTTGGAATCCAGGTGACAGGTAATACATTTTCTGTCTCATCTTACCTGCTTATATGTTTGCATGATGATAAATGATGGATCAGACTGCAATAAAGTGTGAATGGATGGAGCTTCAGGCATCGGGCCAAACAGACACACACACACACACACACACACACACACACACACACACACACATACACATACAATCAAAAGAGTAGAACTCATAAAAAATACATGCTGTATCCTGTGCTCGACACTTCTCTCTGCGCTGTTGAATGATAGCCTGTTTGGTGTGGTTGAAGGTGTCTGGATGCATCTCAATGTGTTGCATGTTTTGTGTATGGCTGTGTGTGTGTTCTTCTCTCTTTCTGTGAGTGTGTGTGTCGTGGGGTGAGGTGAGCTGAAGGTTGTTTGATGTGCCGAGATGGATCCTGACAACTTCTGTGCGACAGCTTAAAAGAGGATCAAGCTGTGATGATTGAGGCTTTTTTTTCTCCTCCTCTCTGCACTTCCCACCCACCAGTCATCCGATACACAAACTGTCTTTATACAGGTTGGCTTCGTGCAGGTAAACCCATTGAAAAAGTGGCTGTAGACTCCCACTGCCAGTGTGATTTGCCTTTTTGTTCAAGTTTCCATTAGTCTTTTTGTCACATTTGATCTCTCACAGGCTTTTGTTCAAAGTCAGCGCTGACAGGGTTTCAGCGTTGCTTGAGCAGAGATGGATGACATTTGGGTTTGAAATGACACTGAGTTTAAGAACGTGAACCTTCTTTGCTTTGATTAATCGACCGAATATCAAAAAGAAAAAGAAAAGCCCAAGTCTCCTTGACTCACTTGAGTGAATGGAATGCACATTTATTTTATTTTATATTCCAAAATTAGAATTTATTTTCCACTCAAATACGCAGATTTGCTGGCCTGTAAGAGAGTTTACCTGCTACAGGATGGACAGTCCAGATAAGGTTTAAGGTTTTTTTGTAACTGGTCTTTGCATGCAAAGTCTGAGAGAAAACTACTGCTCATGTTTCACTGATACAATTGTTCAAGTAGTCAAGATTTTTTGATTATTCTAATCCAGTGGTTCCAAAACTTTATTGGTTGAACACCCCCTTCTATAACAGGTCTTAACAGGTGGATGTCAAAAAAAAATGCATGCAAAAAAGATTTTTTATAAAGGCAGCAGTTTTACTATGCCCTTACACACATAACACACACACACACACGTGTGTGTTAAGGCCTGCATTTATTTATTATTTAAAATGTCAGCTTTGGATTTAAAATGTTTCAAATGTGTTTATTTACACGTCTTTATTGGGTGGAAAAAGCCCATTAAAAAGAAAGAAATGCACTGCAAACCACCATCATATTGTTATATCTCCCTCACCCCCGGGGGGTGTAAGCACCACACTTGGGAAGACTCTGACATATTTAATATTGCTGTTATTGTTAAATGATATCAAAGAAGTCCACATTTTTGGGTCCTGTTGGAGATGTGCTGTATTCTCTTCTCCTGGAGAGATTGTTCTCATAAAGATTAATTAGATTATTATGTAGAATTCTCCTTGGATGTATTCTGGTGGGCCATTTCATTACGGTAATATCCTCTCCCTATAGTGGATGGGGGAAATAATACTCAGACTTATGAGCTAATAAATACACAGGCGTCTTTTCTCACAAAATCCTTTCAACTCCTCATATTGAAAAGTGACGATGCATCAGGAGACATCAATCTTTTCCCATCTTGTAGTTTGAGGATTTCTGATGCAAATGACTGCAGACTGTTTTCTAGCGCATGCACTGAGTTATTGTCATTAATTTCATGTGCAGTATGATGGTTGTATTTTTGCTCTTTGTCCATTTTATTATCCACATGAGTCTGGTTTTGCTTCAGTGGGTTCTAACTGGCTGTGTGACTCAGACCTCGGTGGCACCGGTGGGCTACATTTCTGTGCTTGTCACTCCTTTAAATTTCATCTAAGATGTGTTTGTGTCATTTAGCTCAAAGGTGTAGGTGCCATAGAATGAATCAGTCAAGAAAATGCTCCAGAGGTTCAGTGGAAAAAGAAGATAAATGATGGGAAGTGTATTCACTTTTCTTTCAGCCAAGAGTTGTTTTAGCCACATGAATGTTGCACAACTCCAAGAATCCCCTCATTTTTGTTCAAAGTTGGATTCTTAGATGCAAACATTGCAGACTTGAGACTTGAGAATGCTCAGTCACTCTGAAAAACTGGATGACTACGTAAAGCTGCAAGCAATAAACTTGTGTTAAAAATATACAAAATATATACAAGCAACCAGCAGAGGGCGTCTGTTTTTTAGTGCTTCACCATTGCATATGAACAGCAGTGTCCATTTCCTCTATTCAGTATATACAGGAAATCCTTTATTATGAAGACCATAATGAAGGACGTGGTCACATGGTCGTCACACAACACCCGGTGTGACCCAGAGTCGTGCAGGAAATCTAGGTGAGGTGACCTAGGTTAATCACTCATTGGTCTTCTGTCTGTTCCGACTGTGACGTTCAGCAAAAAGCTGTGAAAATAATGAAGTCACTTTGATGGACTCTGTTATTTTTTGACTAAAGTTCAGAGCAGCAGCTGAAGTGTCACATCTGGCTGATGTAATGATAGGCTGCAGTAAAAGACTTCAGACCAAGACGCTCGACTTCCCCTGACGTCAACGCCTCTGTCTGGCATCAATTCCTGTCTGGGCTGTGAACATTTGTTGTAGATGTGAAAGCTCCACAGGATTTAAGGTGGCTGGAAAGTGACCATTAACATAAGAAAGGAGTTTTCAGAGGCTGAATGACATTAACAATACGAATGTGAAAATTGTCTTAAGTTCTGATTTGTGGTCTTTGCTCCCACTCTCTTGTTCTTTTCTTCTTTGAAAATCAAAATGTTCCATTAAACTAAAGTTTGAAAGGTCTATTTTCAGTTAAGGTTTATAATTGCATACCAATTCTTTTTATTGCATTATATAATGTCTCTGCTTTTGACAGGAGTGATAATTAAAATTCAGGATTCTGACCTGAGGTTGGTTAGTATGGCTCTACTGTCAGGCTCATGGGAAATGGTTTAGAGTGAACAGAAAAAAATTAAAGAAAAAAGATTAAAAAAATATCTATCACCGTAGAAGTAGCTGTAAGGGCTTTTGCCTTACTGAGAAGATCACTGGTTTGCTGTTTCAATTCCCTGGTCCCTAGTTGTCTCTGTATGTGGCCCTGTCATACTTCACCCTCACCTGATGACAGCTGGGATCTGGGCTCTTGTGTGACTCCCACAACTTTCACACCCAATGTTTGAGAACCTCTGTGATGCATTAATGTTGTGTGATTTTTAGTTTGTTTTAGGCTCTGGACTAATTACAATGAGCGCTGGTTGTAGATATAAGACAAGATGATAACCTTCAGGATTGGACATTTTCTAAACCCCTATGGAATCATAACTTTACTCAAACATTAGCTTCCCCTGTGCACTGTCTAATAAACTGCAAAAACAGTTGGACTATTTTAGTTTTAGTGATGCAGTGGCAGACTGTACCATTGTTAAAGTCTTGGACCATGGAGAAGTCTTGTCTGCACAACAGCTCGGGGCAAAAGAATGACCAAGGTCAGCGATGCTTGTTATTAATTATACATGTCGCTTACACCATAGGTAGTTAAAGCTGATGCCATCTGTTGGCCTGCAGAAAAGACTTGTCGTAAGATATGTTACACAGCAATAAGAGTAAATGGTTGACACTCTCTCACCCCTTTACATGTGGAGTTGCATGATCTTCCCATTTTTTAAGTCTTGGCCACGGTCAGATTTGACATTAGGTTCGGGGTCGTCATAAAACCCCACTGATCATGCTTTATATGGAGCTAAGTTTGTCTAAATTGTCCTGACTAATTTTGTGTGGGTTTTGTTTTCTGTCTGCTGCTGCTGTTGTAATGAGTGAATTTCCCTTCAGGGATTAATAGAGTACTGTTCTTCTTAGTTCCATCATTAATGCCTTTGTGCCTGCACTACAGTGACACATAAACTTGGCTAGATCTTTCATTTTAAAAAATGATTTTCCTTGCGAAGGGAATTGGTTTAACACACTATCAATGTGTTTGATAGTTGGTGACAACCTGGCCAGTCTTCTCACTGATTTTGCTCAGTGTCAGTTAAAATCATTGCCAGGTCCTTCTGAACACCTCTGGCAGTGACTATTTGAGAAATCGTTAAGTACTTGTTAATAACAAGCTCAAAATCTTAATCATCAAGTCGATAAAACAGGCCTTCACAAGAAAGAAGAATGGTTCTACTTTTTAAAAGATGCTGCATTAGCCCACTCTCAAAGTTTGAAACTGCACTCCCTCCTGCTCCCAAGGTTACATTTTCATCATATCAAAGTTTAATTCATTTGAAACTGACCCAGAAGCTGAAGGTGTCTGTATCTTTTTCTTCAAAATCGTTGGCAATGAAATCAAATGTTTCGCCTTAAAGCAGGAGAGTGACCTGAGGAACTTCACAAACACAACAAAGTGACTTCACTTTCCTCTTTTATCTTATTTTCTCTGATCTTTTTCTTCCTTATTTGTCTCTTCTGCCGCGGTGCACATCCTGTCTGTTTTCCTCTAAGATGAACTTTAGCTGTATATCCTCCAAACCTCTGCTGACACGTCCTTAGAGATCAGAAAGGTAGTGATTGAGCTCTGACTTCCATTTTTACCATCTCACCAGATTGAATTACCCAGCAACACATTAGCATTCTAATAACACACACACACACACACACACGGTGAGTCTCCACCCCTGAATTGGCAGGTCTTTGTCCGGGACGTTCATGTGGAGAAATAAGACAAAGTGAGACAGAGACGACTCGAGGTCAGATAAACACAACTCCATTAACCCATTTCCTGGGCTGGGTCTCGACCTGTCCAGCTTACATGCCTCTGATTAATGAGGGTGTTTTAAGAGTTCCTGGCACCTCACTACAAACACCCTCACCCAATCCCTCACCCTCTGCCACTTTTAAGCCCCTTCTTCACCCATCTTTTTTGCTTCAATTTATCCTTGCTTTTATCTTCCCACCTATTACCCCACATTCTTCCTCCTGGTGGAGGAGGTGATACATCCTGCACACAAAGGTTTGTGCCTTTCAGCCAAAAGTCATAAATTACCACAAATAGAATGTATCGGTTAGGAGATTGCATTGATCTGTTACTGCTTTTTAGGTCAGCACAGTTGATTAGCAGCGTTATGAAAAGCCAAGGCCTCTAGGGTTGAGCTATAAACTGTATATGACCTGATTTCTCTGTTTATTTTTCTTCTTTGAACCACATTCATTTGGTACTTGGCCATAGTGTAGTAGCAACAGTCCATGGATCTGGTTCTAGGATGTTAATACTTGCAAAACAACAAAACTGTGGTGCATGTAGCTCGAAGGGTACGTAGGCCCCCTCTAGTGGTATTTCGGGAAATGAGATGTAGTGCTTAGCTGAACAGGCTAGTGTTTATTTCTGTATTTGTTGGTAAGTCAAGAAATAAATATATATGGAGGTGGTAAAAACAAAATGGTAATTCTACGATATTGTGATGTAAGCAAGCAAGCTATGATGTACAATGACAAACACAGCCAGTGGTTTAGCCTAGTCAGGTAAGAGTTAGCACCTGGCCATCTAAAAATACATTTAAATGTATTTATTCAAGAGTATATATTTAAGTGAGAGCCTGTGTTTCTGGCTGTTCCTGGTTTTTAAAAAAACTCATTAACAACTAATAATTTGTGACAAAAGAGCCAAAACATTAACATGTTGTTACCATGAACAGTTCCTGAGCCGACACTCATTACTGCATTCAAACAACAGTGTGTTATTGATCTAAGCGTCACCCAGCTCCGTGGTGTTCCTGTGCAGAAGACATGGATTAAATTTGACTGCAGGCGACTCACAGAGGCTGAAACGCTGAATGGGTTGTTTGTGTGCTAATGTGCGAAGATGTCGTCGGTTCGGAGCCGTTTGTGAGCCTGCAGTCTGCCCCCCAGATTCTACATTATTGCAGATCAGACAGAGCGCCTCCTCTGTGTGGTTAATGGAGCTTAAGAAGAGACAGCAGCTCATTCTGCACCATGTTTAGGTTCAAGTGTAGGGCAGGGGTAATGGGGAACACTGACGGTGATATTGAATTATTCAAATGTAGGAGCCTGTTCTTACTTCCTGTACGGTGTGATATGAATTTGTATTGATTAATCATTAGTCATAGGGGACACTCATAAATTCTGTAGAGATGCTTTTTAATAACATCAGGGTTCCAGGGCTGAGGACGAATTATGTTTCACCATGGAGGAACACGGACCAGTCGAATGTTGGCTTTATGAAGGTCCAGGACAGAGTAGAAATTGTTACTCATTTAATCTCCATTCAATGGACTGTGATCCACTGGGTGTTGGTTTGTAGCCAATGGGCGTCTGCGTCACTCTTTATGTTTTACTTCTGATGAATTTATGCCACCAGTGAACTTTTCCATAAGGAGTTGAAGGCCTTTATCGCAGTGTTTCCCAAACTTTTTTTCCGTGGACCCATATTTTAAAAGTCAGAAACCTTCGTGACCCAAGTCAATAGACATTATTCGTAATGAAAAAACCTTTTTTTCAGGTGTTGTAGGACCACTCTACTATGACTACTTCATAGTCTAGCAGTAGCGGCAAAGTGTGCAGTGTGCATAAATTTGACAAAAGCTGTGTCCTCTGAGTCAGAACTGTTTGGCTGACGCTGAAAGATTTGGCGAGGAGCTGAAAGAGAATCTTCTTATCAAACACAAACATTTCTTTCTCGTCTGTCTCCCTCCGTCTCCTTCCAGACTTGTCTTGGCTGAACTGGTGTCTGACAGGTTCCTGTCTCTTCAGCCTCGTCCTCATCCTCTTCTTCAGGGAGTCTTACGACCGCCTCTACTTGGACGTCTTTGTCTCCGTGTGACACTACAGAGGACGGAGGATGAAAAAGAAGAGACCAATTATTAACACAGGACTGAATAAATTCTTGCACAAAAAGGAGGAAAAGGTGACCAAAGTGGAGAGTGACACCTTTTCAAGATTTGAAAGGTGTCAGAGTGCATACACTGGTAATGATGACGGGAACAACCACAGAGAACTGACAAGTGAGTCTCCATCAGTGTTTACTGTTATGATATAGTTGACCCGACGACTGTACGACTGTACAACATTATGATAACTGTTTTTTCTATGGACGTTTATGTACACTGACATTTATTAACGGTTTGTTTTTCTGCACAAAGGGCACAGCGTGATCGACTGTTAACTGTGGTTATTGGTGTTTACTAACTGTGTCATGTTGCATTTGATGAACTCTTCTTCATCCCCCTTGGTTTACTACAGTGAGAGATGAGAGCTCACAAGAGCTGTGTTAAATAAAAGTTTGGGGGCATTTTAATATAACTTAAAAGGGAAGATTATTTTTATGTAAGACTATAATTCAGCTGATTTAATTTTTAAATAATTTTACAGATTTTTTTGGCTAACATTTAGCTTTTCTTTTCTCCACATTTGTTTGGGCATATTTTTTTAAGTTATAGCTTCAAGCTAATGTGGGCAAATTTTGCAGTTTTTTTAAGCTAAAGTAACCTTTAGCTACATTTGGTGCATGTAGCCAATTTCTGCAAAAACAAAAATGGGCAAAAGACATATTTTTATGGGTTTTTCCATCATTAGTTTCTTTTTTTCCTTTTGATTTCCAACGCTGGTGGATCACAGGTTAATATGGTATCGTCGACATAAAGAGTGAGAACTGTAGAACTTTGTCAGCCAATCAGCAGGCCTGGTTGTGCTGCTTAGGAGAGAAACATATGGAACTTGTGTGTGTGTTTTTTTAACTTCCTGCTGTGACTAACCAAGTCTTGATTATTTTTGTTCTTTAAAGGGACATTGAGAGTCATGTACTTTTAAAGACAAATATACTAGTAGGTCCACTTTAGACGACAGTCAAAAAACTGAAAAAAAAAGTAGTTTAAACTGTTATGTCATCACATTTGAGACAACTAATTTAAGGATAATTGTGTTATTATGAGGACAACATTTTTTCCTCATTTTTTATTTTTAACGCTTCTAAATATTTGTTTTGTTGTTTGTATTTATTGCAGATGTGTCAACACTAACTCTGTCAATAATGTATAATTAAAGAGAACTGTGTTGTCAGGATTTTAACCACAGTTGAAATCACAAAGATATTTTAACCACTTAGCTACTCCCCCTCTTAAGCACCAGCAGGGGGCTTCACGCAAACACTCTTGATTTCGTTCCTTTACAAAAAGCTCAAATGTGATGAAGAAGGACTGATTAAAATAAAATGTAGCCAAAAAAGAAGTTTTATGTTGAAAGGAAAAACATCCAGGTAAAAAACAACAACAGCTGTTTTTCACTCACAGAAAAACCTGTGTTTTTCTTGCACAGCGGCTGCAGAAGCAACGCGTTTGAAATGTGATATTTTTTGACTGTTCTCTTTCCTGGTGCTCTTTTTTTCCACGTGATGGTTTTTGCACCTTTCCCTGTACAGAAAAGGTTAAACTTTTACCTTCACCAACGTGCTGCCTTAATTACCCTGTGAGGTGCGTTCAATGTCTCCCTGTGTTTTCACACTGTGACCATTTATTTCCAGTGTAGTTAAAGGTCATGTTCTTCTGTTCTGCAGGTTTCCAGGGCTTTGGGTTATAAAAAATGTCCTTGTTCTGTGAAAAGTAAAAAAAAAAAAAAAAAAAAAAGAATGTGACTGTCGACTATTTACAGTACCTTATTAAAATGAACATTTTCACACCTCCAATCCTGCTCTGCTGTTTTTGGAGGACGTTATTTCACTCTAACTTTAGTCAGTGTAATCCCTGCATTAATGATCTGTGACATCATCATCATCATTATCCTTAACTTCAGCAGATAAATTAGGGAGAACGATTGCATTAGCTTACAGAGTTTAGTCTTTTTTTTTTTTAATTTCCCCTCATTGGATAGATAAGGGTCCCCACCCTCTAGTCTTTGGACCGGTACAGGTCAGGAGTCCAGACAGACAAAAGTCCGTTGTTCCGCCATTATTACATGACAGTTATTCTTGTTGACCAGTGCAGGAGGCATATGAACACTGAATGAACATACTGTACATCCTTGTTAGACAGTTCAGGTGCCAACATTAATTCCTGTTACTCCTGAAACTTCCAGTCATTGTCAGTCGATCCTTGAATAGATGTTTTATTGTAACTAAACATTTGACAAGTTGACACTTCTGGTGATAATTTGTCGACGTTGTTGAGCCCTGAAGGAGCCGATTACATCACACACTCGCGGCCTGAAATCATCTGCTGTGTTACTTTGGCTGTGGAGAAAATTATTTCGCACAATATCCTGAGGCAGGCGAAGAGTTCAAGTCTCTGAAGACAGACTCCTGGATTCCAGGAAATATTCTTGCTCCTGTGTTGCCTCAGATACAAATCACTACCAGTGTGTATGACCTGTGGCCATGACCTCACTCTGACTAAAGCCTCCATTAAGTGTGAGCATGTACACCCCCACGGCCCCCGCCCCCATACTCAGCTGGAGATGAGCTCATAGTGGAGCTCTAGTGAGAATGAACATCACCCGGGCGGGTCTGTGTTCAGAAGATGGTTTTTGTTCCGGCTGCTTCTTATTAAAAGCGTGTGTGTGTGTGTGTGTGTGTGTGAGAACAAAAAGACCCTGAGATTCATTTACTTATTTTGACTCTATTTTTGGCTCTTAAAGACATTTGGGAGTGTTCTACCTGAGAGCCTTTTACTCACTAATGACAGGTGTAAAAATAACTGTGATATAAAATCCAATCAGTTGGTCCAACTCCGGGGGGTGTGCCACAAATTATTGCGTGGCATTTCCAAAACAGGCCCTGTGGGGGTGTAAAAATTAATCCGTGGTTTTATGCTGATCTGTCATAAATCCTGCGGTGAAGAAATAAACCTCCTTTGTTTCGACTCCTCTGCTTTTATTGACGCAGCTTCAGCTTTGTCCCCGTCTCTCCTACATGAAGCTAAAAGAAATATAAAGTATAAAAAAAATGAACAAACTGAATAAAACCAGTTGAAATGAGGGCTAAAAATCCACATGAAGAAAAAGTAAGTTTGCATCAATTCAAAACCGTGTATTGTAGGAATTCTTGTTCATGGAGGATTTAAGAGATTTTTTTTATTATTTTAATTCCTGGCTGGAATTACAGCAAATCATCTGTAATTTTGTTGATGCCACTAGATCATACGTGTCAAACTCAAGGCCCGGGGGCCAAATGCGGCCCGCCAAGCCGTTTTGTGTGGCCCGCGGGAGCTTAACCTGAGAAATTAAAAGCTTTTTTTATTACATCTTTTTTTTTAATTGATCATCTTTAAATAAAGAAAGTAAATGGATATGACTGGACTTTTTCTTGGAATGAAGTAAATTAGTAAAAATTAAGTTATTTCCCACCGCAGCCTAGACCGGGCGTTGGGGACCTCTGATCTATACAGTCTTCCATTTACAACTGGCCCTTCAAGTGGAACTGTATTGCTGATGTGGCCCCCTGGTGGAAATGAGTTCGACACCCCTGCACTAGATGGTGGGAGACATCAAATGTGTCCAATTATCTTTGAAAATGTAGGTTTATTCTTGTACATTTTATTTACATTAATTCACATCCAACCAATACTGGACCGGCTCGCCAGTCAAAATGTTTGCCCACCCCTGGGTTAGGATTAGCAAACGCTAACCCCAAAGCCTTAGGACTCACAAAAATGTACATATAACAGTACGGCCAATTTAACAGGAGGCTTTAGACGAGTCTTTTGACGCCTCTGTCGGTCGGTGCTGGGTGTTCATTAAACAGCAGTTAAGAGTCAAAAAGTGTAGAAATCACCATATTTTCTGCTTCTTTAGAAAAGTCAGTGAAGAGAAAACACAGCAATGATGTTCTGTTGAAAGAAGACACATTTAACTTCTGCGACAAGCACAGGACAAAGGAGTGCAGCCGCGTTGTCTTGTCAGAGGCAGATAAGCTAATGATGCGTACTGTTCACGCACACCCCTCACACACACACGCACTAACAGTTTATTAATAGCCCTCCGGCAGCAGCTCAATTCCAATTTCTTCCCGTGGCTCGGTGTCTGCTGAAGGCGTGGCATCACGGCTGTTAAGAGTCTCAGGAGCAGATGGAGACACAGAAAAGGAAACACTTTTCTTTCACCAACAAGCCATTTGAATACTTTGGTTTTGTTGCCTGGTGCCATCACAGGCTGTGAAAGCAGAGAAACATCTGATGAAATCTCCTGTCTGTATCTGACAGCTTTCTACACCTTCCCTTTGTTTTTTTGCCGTTTCTCACATTTCCGTTCCGCCGCCTGTTTTTCTTCCTCCTGTGACTAAAACTCACTATTCCCTCACCGCTGCACCTCGGGGTCTCCCTGGGCCGCCCCTGGGTACACCAGTCCCTAATTGACTTCTCTGGGATTATGAAAAATGAGCGGCGCTTTCAAACGGCCCATTTAACACAACTGCCACGACATGGTGCCACTTACTTTATCTTCCAGGCATTAAAGAAGGTGAGGGGCTCGAGATGAGGGACGGTCAAGTCCAGGCTGCTGAGTTTTGACAGCTGGACACCTAATTTGCCGATTCATCACAGGAGAATTTGAGATATTAAGAAACCCAGTTCTTTTCCTTTATGCAAATTTTCTGATTTAAATACATAATATGAGCCGTGTTAGCAGCTGTTTAATAATTTACTGCTTTGGAGCATCACCGCACAACAGTTCTGTACTTGGTTGGAATGCTACGCTTTCATTAATAAATTCAGTATTACAAGGCTTCAGCTTTGTGTAAATACTGTATTATTGATAAAGCTGAATGAACCTTTAGTTTGTACGGACACCATTACAGCAGGTGCGATGATTCCTCCTCAATATTAGAGGCAAATAAAATGAAAAAAATTCCAAGACAACTTTGAACCACATCCCTGGTTATTATCCATCATTTCAGTCCAAAAATACAGCCAAGCTCTCCAACTGCAGCTCAAAGTCCCAGAGACACTCAAAAATCCCTCTTAAAAAAAAAAAAAAAAAAAAATCAATACATATCAAAAAGGCATCTGTTTGGACAGAATCGCAATGAGATGTGAGAGTTGGATGATCAGTCAGATTCTATCTCTGAAGATTTTATAGCTGAAAAATTTTTATTAAGACGTTCGAGGGAAACGTCTTCAGCCACGATACACAGCAGCTCTGCACTGACTGAATTCAGTGCCTTATATTTACTGCTGAAGAAGAATCACTTCCAGAAACTTCTTCTTTACCAGGGGTCACCAAGGTGACAACCCCACCAGAGATTGAGGACAACCGAACCGAACCACAAAGGTTCTTGGCTATAATCGGTGTGGAGACACAGTGAAGGATTATTTGAAGTTTGAATTTTTCTGTGACACATGAAGCTACTTGATATTCTTCAGACGGCAGGATAATAACACAGCGGGTCATTTAACATTAGTGCTGGGTCTTTGCAGTGATACTCATTATACTTTGATAATTCCAAAAGTGCCAGGTGATGTGTGATGACATTTAGTTTTGCTCTGGAAAGAGTTGATGGAGACAGAAATGATTCCAAAGGTCAGTAAAGACACGAGGGACGAAGTCGGAAGAACTGAGCTGATGAAGAATGATTCCATCTACAGTGACGCTCTCTGCACAGAACTCTACTGAACCAGTGATTCCAAACATCCTGATGTGTTCTGAGAGGAGGAGGTCGACGTGTCTTAACCTATGGAGTCAGGTTCTACTTGACTGAGGCTCCTCAGCTGGAGGACAGGGCCGTGACGGAGGCAGCCACGTCCTCGGACCAACTCCAATTATGATAACCATGCAAGCGGAAAGGCGGTAAGCAGAAGGAGCAACAGGACAGACTGGAGACGTGGGGCTGTCTATTTAAATCACAGCTCACCCCGCACAACAGACACCATTTATAATGAATTAATACAAGACTTGGTGGTCGCTTGTAGGACGTGATTCACAAAATTAGTAGATGTTTTATAATGTGACCAAGTCTAGAAACGATTCTCAAAGGGAGTGGCTCTGATTTTGTGTTTCCAAACCTCTTCGGAGCCACATCCTATGTTACATTAGGAAAATCCCACAGCATCAAACATAATTGTACCATAAACTATATGTGCTAAAATACGATGATCGCAAAGAGTCAATACACTCACAGTTTATCGATAGTATTAAAGCCTGTCCTACTTTGTTGAACACAACCTTTATATACTAGCAGGAATCGAAGAGACATGGAGGCCATTTTTTAAAAGTTTCTCTTTAGCAACCTGCTGCCACCAAGAAGAAAGTCATTTCATTATTCTGCCTTTCACTGTCACATTGATGAGCAGAGAAATTATTTTCAATAAATAAATAATTGTTTTCAGAGCAGCTGAGTGAAATTTGATAATTTCACATGGCACGCCTGATGTCTTGACACACCACTGTGCCACCACACAGTGGTTGTGAATCATTGTGGAAGAAAAAAAGGCAGGTGTTGTTTTTGAGTGTTTTCACATTGACTAAAATGACTTTGTTTAGTCTTCATTAAAACCGAAAAAAAACAGAACAAAACTATCCGCTGTTCTAGAGCTGAGCGTCTGTTGACCTGATAGAGGAGTTCTGACTCCTGCTCAGAGTGTTCAGATCTCTGCTGTAAAGAAATCACTCTAACCCTCATGGCCAAACTGCTCTCTCACACTTTTTGTGTGAGTTTGTTGCAGGTTGTGACAAACAAAAGACTGTTACATTTGGTGAAATCCCCCAGAGTTTTCCAGAGACTCGTGACACACGTGTGTGGATGTACAACATTGTTTTGCATTTGCCTTTTTTCATTGTTATCAACTGTATGATTCCAGCTCTTCCCACTGACGGCTGCGTTCACACCAGACACTGGCAGCAGCAGCAGCAGCAGCGGCAGACTGAAGGTGGGTGGTGCATATATAGACTCTGGGGAACTAACGAGTGGATGAGCTGCAGGTGAGGGGAATCACTGGGGAACAGCAGGTGAGGAGAATGGAGCTGATTGCTGGGACTGTGGGATCTGTAATGACAGGAGAGGCTGTGAAATAAGAGGAACAATAGTAATAAATAAAATTATTATTCAACGTGTGTTTAGTCAAAGCTCCGACCTGGAGCTGGAGAGACAAACAATGAGAGGACGTGAATATATTTCCTTGAAATGGTGAAATATTAATATAAGTGTTTTTTTTTTTACATTTTTAATAATTTAAAAAAGTTTAGGAACCTC